ACTAGGGGGAATCATGTTGTGCAATTCCCCTGCACACTCACCGAAATGTATCCGGTAGAAAACAGAAAGGCTTGCAACCTTACGCCTGTGTTCGAGGCTTTGAAGCTGAGCCTCCACGCGCAAGCGCATCATCGTTGACGAACCTCTCAAAGTGCTCTAACGGGTCTAACTGATATTTAGCCGAGCTCTCACAAAGATGAGAGCAGTACACCATACAGGACCTAACCTGTGCCGGGTACAGGATCAGTAATTGTTTCGGCGTGACCGCGTGAAGTAACGTCTCACCCTCCTTAGGATACCCAACTTCCTACGAGCCAGTTGCGCTTTCGACTGTATATAGGAACCAAAGTTGATGATGTTTATTACTTTTTTAGTCTTACTTAGTCATTGCTTGTTTAGACATTTACGTAGATTTGATTGACGTCAAAATTCCAGTCGGCTGTTATCCTGTACTGTCTTATCTATTGATATTGCCTAATAACCAATGTGCGCACTCCAAAATACACCTATTTATATTACACATTACGCCTAGATCTACAACAACAAAATTTTGTGCAACAACCAAATCCACGATAGAGTGCGCAGCAACGGGTCGCTTAACCACTGCACTCACTGTGTACCTGGTGTAAAATTCTAAATGATTTTCGATTGTTTCTAGTAAGTATATAGCCATATAGGTACTGCCTCAATCTGATTCTCATAATGGATAAAATGCCAAAATCCATGACCTTTGATTAGCATCCGTACTTGCCTCTTGCCACAACACGTGGCAGTTCAGTCAGGGAATCAAAGAGTGTAATAAGTTTTTTTTTAAGGGGGGAAAATCGTCGAATGACTGCTCCCGCCTGGGTGAGGCGGGAGGGAGTGTCAGACTCTTATTTATTTATTTATTTATGTACATACATACAACATAAAGGACAACACATACATAAAATTAAAGTACAAAGGTACCACCTATTCCTGTTGGAATTTCTTCCAGTGGACCTGGAGCAAGAAAAGTAATAATAATAAAGTGACACAGTGTGTAGTAACAAATAAAAAATTGGGATAGGAAACAGACTTAATAAGTATAGGGGAAGGTATTGAAATGAATAATATTGAATATAATAATATCTATGTTTCCTTACCTAAGTACCTACATATATCTACAATGCCTACATATATTATAATGATGAATACTACTTAATACATAATGGTACTTTAAGTAGCATGCGGTTTTAGGAAACTATAAAAGAAATACGTGGCCAGATCAAAACTTGACTTCTTTACGATACCAACTAGGTAGTTACCTATACCATGACATCCATAGCTTCAGAGGACTCCTTCCTCTATTGTAATTATGTTGTCCTTTTTGCCTTCTACGGCAACCTCTCTCACAGGGCAACAGAGGTATTTCTATGCTATTAAAAAAATTGTAAACCAGGGTTGGGTACATACTGTGCCCAGCTTAAACTGAGTTGGCGAGCCCTTTCGTCGTGGGTATGCTGCCACCCTGTTGCTTTTTTATAATGTTTCTTTGCTTTTATTGTTTTTTTACTGCTGTTTTTTTAAATGTTATTTTATGTTTTTATTATTTTGGTTTTTCAATGTGTGTATATTTGGTGGTTCATGCCTGGTGGCTAATAAATTATTTATCTTTCTTTCTTTTCTTCTATTTATAACTGAAATACACAAATTACATAGGTACGTGCTTACTTAATGTTTCCTTAGGTACTGTGAGTCCATAATTGCCGCTGTGGCTGATCATAGTTCAAAGATATAGGTACAGCCGCCCAAACCAATGTCATATCAATTGTTTTTTTTTTTTTTCAAATCAAATATCTTTATTGCTGAACACAGTACATTTTGATGCATTTCAAGATGTTAGATGAATGCGCAGTTCATGTTCCACCAATCAAGGTATGCAACTATTATTCGTAAATTACAATTGACGAGTTCCAGATTACAGCAATTTTATTAGTTCAGTCAACACTTTACAAGTTATTACTAAAGCACAACAACATACTTAAAAATTAATAAAGAAAAATTCAAATATCAAATAGGTAAGTCATAATTATACAATGTTAATCAATGTCAAGAAATAAAAGTACAATAAAGTTAACAATATGTCAATATTTCTGTAGTCATATTATGACAATGTTTGTTAAATATTCTTTTATCGAATAGTATGCCTTTTTTATTAGAAATTTATTCAGTTCTACTTTAAACACATTGATTTCCCTGGTTTCGAGTAAATGTTTAGGTAGTCTGTTATATATCGATGGTGCCATCCCTAAAAAGCTCTTGTGGAAGAGTGCTTTCTTGTGTTGTCTATAACGGATTTTATTTTTGTTTCGCGCGCTTTTTAATGTTTCAAATAGTTTAGGGTTTTCTTTCACAAACATTGCTACCTCATATATGTACAGACATGGTAATGTTAATATACGTAATGAGTTATTGAGAATATATAACACCTATGTAGTCTAGAATGCAGTATGCTTGCATGCATGCCCCTCAGCTCTCAATCTCAACAGTACCTAGGTCCGTAATATGAAAATTACAGCTCTTGACAATCTCACTCAATAGTACCATTCAAAGTGCCGCGCCACATTGGCAATCACTGCAATGATGCCGGTATATTTTTGCATCTTCGTTTGTTTTCTGTAAAAAGTCTTTTATTTTCACCACCGAATATTATAAACTACCTGCTGCCAGCGGTTTCGTCCGCGTTTCCGGGGTTAAAAAGTATCTAGCCTAGTATTAGGGGGCGTCCATAAATTACATGAGATTTTTAAGGGGGGGGAGGGGCTAGAATCAAATCTCATCTAATCTTACGTTGGAGTTTTTTTTTCTGCTTTAAACAAGCAGGGTATAGGCTCATTTGGGTGATACCTAGGTATTTTTATCCCAAATGGGATTACTACCATGGGAATAATTTTATCCCGAATAGATACTCCCATGGGATAAAACTGAAATACCCGGGTAATACTATTTATACTATCCGAAGGTACATAGAGACAGGTAAACAATAAGCAAATAGTAAATACAAAACAAAACAAAGAAAAACAGATGCATCACCAACTATTTTCCTGTGTTTTTATCGAGTCTCATGTAATAAGAGATAATCTATTGCCTTATCTACTTGACGCAATTCTACCAAACTCCGTACTACTTTTGAAAATTTTTGAAAATACAAACTTACTTTACATATTTTAAGTGTGGGACACACCCTCACAGAAAACCGACGTGAAACAACGCTTGCGTTGTGTTTCGTCGTGTTAGTGAGGTTACCGGAGGCCGAATTAACCCCCCTCCCTAGTCTCCCGAATCCCCGAATCCTCCACAATCCTCAAATTCCGGATTCCCAAAAGGCCGGTGACGCACTTGTATGTAACGCCTTGGTGTTTTGTGTGTCCATGGGCGGCGCCGATTGCTTACCATCATCGTGATCCGTCTGCTCGTTTACCGGCTTTTGCTATAGAAAAAAAACACTTTGCATGTCCCGGGCATTGAATCTAGGACTTAGAGGGAATCGAATTCAAACTAAACCGCAATCGCAACCCCTAATAAATAAATAAATGTCTACTTACTTTATGCGAATGTGTGACTCGAAATAGGCACCTAATCATAAATTGGTCTGCTAATCCACTTTAGAAATAGCTAAATCGACAGTTAAAAAGCTGCAAATATTTGTCTAGCTATCTATAATAATATCTACGTCGCGTTCCCTTATCACCAAAGTCGTCGTCGTGGTGACCTGGAGGTTAAGACACCCGCTTCTTATTCACGAGGGTGCGGGTTCGAAACCTACCAACGGCAAGTACCAATGTGACTTTTTCCGAGTTATATGTACTTTCTAAGATTATTTAGACACCACTGACAAACGGTGAAGGAAAACATCGTGAGGAAATCTAGACTTATAATTTCTAATAATTATTAGTTTGAAATCGCCAACCCGCAATGAGCAAGCGTGGTGATTAATGCTCAAACCTTCTCCGTATGAGAAGAGGCTTTGCTCAGCAGTGGGCATTTATAAGCTATTGATGATGATTGAATGCTACAGACTGGTTGACTTCATTGCACGTTTCGCTCAGTGACTAGTAGCCAACGGCTGAGCGGTTTCGATTCCTGTACGGAATAACTACCTGTATGATCCACAGAGGTGTGGATGAGATGTTTGCGTTTTTATGTCATTAACTTAATAGTAACCTCCTATTCTTCGAAGCCTGCACATTTAAGAGGAACTATGTGACAAGTTTTGAAATTATCTGTATCAGACAGATTCTTAGGAGACCGGCAGCGCTACAAGCGGCAGAAATAAATAATAGAAATGTATGTACAATCGGCAGGTTTGCATCATGACATGACCCACGTTGACAACAAATCGTATGAAATTATCAAATTCACTAAGATTTTCCTTGAAAAAAAGAATTATTACACACATACATAACTTCGCGCCTGTCTCCCATGGGGGTAGGCAAAGACTAAGGAACGCCAATTACTACGATTCTTACATACCTCTTTCGCTTCATTAACAGTCATCAATCTTTTCATGCATGCTCGTCGGTTAAGGGTACTTTTAATTTAAAGAATGATTGTGGATCATAATTAAAATATTGTGTGCCAGCTGTTGCCCGCGACTTTGTCCGCATAGAATATGTTTTGTATGTTTTTTCTTGTTTCATATTTCCAAAATAAAAGTAGCCTATGTTACTCCTTAGGGCATCAGCTGCCTGCCAATAAAAGTCTTTCAAAATCGGTCTAGCCATTCCAGAGATTAGCCAGTACAAACAGACAGACAGACAGACAAAAACTGTAAAATGATATGTTATTTTGGTATTACAAACAGCACTCCCATTTTATTTATCTGTATACTATAAACGTATCTTATTATGCCGACCGTTCTGAATCGTTAACGACTCTCATAGATGTTCTTCTTACCGCAAGGCAACCATATACTATCTTTATCTTTAACCATGCTCAAGATCTTTATGTAAAATCTACAGAAATAAAACATTACGCTATTTTTAATATTGATTTATTAACAAATACTTTAAAGTTTCAACATTACACAAGTCCATAACGTGAGATTGTCGAACATAAACCAAACAGGTTCGACCACAGAGTATAAATATTTGTTACTTTTTTAATAGTATTTTTAAGCAATGAAACTTCGCGTAGAATATGAAAATAAGATTCTAGGATTTTAGTTCACAGTTCGATTTAATAGTAAAACTTAAGTCTTAAATACATATTTATTTTTATAATCAAGCCTGGATGAAGATTGCAATGTAATTCTAATGCTTAAATACTTTAGAATACAGATTAAAATCATTTGAAAAGAACTGTCAACATGAACTAAATCGACCATAAAAATAAAATTATTTGACTATAATAATTTCACTTTCATTTCTTCTTATTCTTCCCCAATTTCGTTTTTGATTTAACAACACCTTTGAACTGTTTTGATGTCTGTGCCTTTTTCCTGTAAACAAGATAATTAAATATGATGTTAGACAAATGAATTAGTCATATCCACACTCAACGACAACAAGTGTGTTTTAACGCGGCAGTCTAAAAGAATTCTATTCAGTTTTTGGAGCCTATAAAGTTCCTTACAAAATCAATCAAACATTGAGTCCTAGAAACGAGATATACGGGTGTACTAGGGGCATAAAGCTAGGGTACGTAGAAATGAGCCAAAAAATAACTTGGCTAATAAAGCAAAATAAAAAATAAGTATCAAAATGCATTTAAGATTTATGAAGTTAAATTCAACTAAGTGTGGAAGAGCTATGCTTCGGCACGAATGGGCCGGCTCGGACCAGGGAGCTTACTCTTGAAACCAATCTCAATGTCAATGCAATTTCAATCCAATAAAATCTCAATAATTATTCAATGTCAAAACTATACAACCACAATCGCAGCTGTTAATATAGCATTTAGAGTACGGGATATAAAACCAAACTCAATACCACTTAGTTCATTCAATATCCACGCAATACGAATGCAATGGGCGCTAGTGTTGCAACTCAAGAGTACAAAATTTCGCAATACCAATGTCGATCTATCGGTATTGAATTCAAGAGTACGCCACCAGAGCGGTACCACGGCCTCACAGGAATCCGACGTGAAACAACGCTTTTTTGTCGTGTGAGTGAGATTACCGGACGCCCAATTCCACCGCCTTCTCAAATCCCTGAATCCCCAACATTCCTCAAATTCCTAATCCCCAAAAGGCCGGTAACGCACTTGTATCACTTGGTATTCCAGGTGTCTATGGGCGACGTCGATTGCTTACCATCAGGTGATCGGTCTGCTCGTTTACCGGCTTATCCCATAAAAAAACTGAGAGTCATTAGTTTTCAAAATGTAAACCATTATGTTTGAACTAGATATTAAAATTACACTAATTATAAAATCCGAATATTAACTGCCTTTACAATATGTACAACACATTCAATACATCTTTCAACAGAAAAATTACAGTGAATAAAACGTAAAAACAAAAATACAATGACTATATCACTCGTAAACACTGAACAATGTTACCCCAATGATTTATGTCATCATTCCACCACGGAACGATGTTTTTTACTCCACTTGGAGTTACGCCAAGAATACAAGTTCATGAAAATAAGTCCAGCAGTTCCGGAGAATAGAACGTGACATACAACTTAATGTTGCTATTTTTGTTTCTATCGTTTGGAGCTTAGGAATGACCTCGTTATAGTGTTTTAGGCTCTATTTTAACTAATGTGTACGTCAATAACTTTGATATATTTAGCATGATATGTATATTATTCGATTAATAATAAAAAAAAAATCCTATAGAATTGAGACAGTAATTTGCGGTCGTTTATGCGTGGTTTTATTCAATTAGGTTCATGAGACCAGAATAAATTCATTTATGTTTGAATTATTAAAATATACATACATAAATATATTTTTGTCAGACTATTGCAAAAATATCTACACTATTTTATGAAATGGATCTACGTTCGGACACTTTCTTAGAAAATCTACCCCGAACTGTCAAAGCTTTCAATGCTCAATCAATTTTTAACTTTATTGTTAAACTGTGAAGTTATAAATTGCAGAACAGATTATTATAGCTTAACTATTATATTCGCGTGTTTAAATAACATTTTACAGAAATTACATGTAGTACTTACCTCTTATTCAAATTCTTCCTGGATAGCGGTAGATACGCGTAGGGATCGTGTTTGCCCTGTTTCTTCACGTCTCCCTTCGCCTTCTTAGCTCTGTATTCCGATCCAGCACCTGACGCTACTGATGCTGCTGATCCTAGCGGCCTAGAAGGGAAAATTCCATGAAATATCGAATACACATACATACGTATACAACTTAGTTTACCATCTTGCCGCGGGTGCTGAAAAGGGTAACCAACCATTGTTAATAGAAAGTTATTTTTCTTTTTAGAACCCATGCAGCAACGTTTTCTAAAATACTTGATCTGATCTGTGATCTTCAAATCGCTTGCCAAACAACTGATCAATCCCCAAGTAGTCACCGGTGACTGCTCTGCACTAACTCCATTATAGACCTTATTTCCGAAGTTTAGAGACTACTTTTATATGAACAAATTGTGGCGATTTGTATCAGATGATTGTGTAAGCGTTAATGACAAAATCACTCTAATGCAAAGGGGCTTAGTTAGCTTAGTTAACTATCAATTGCTGTGCTCTTAGCGCCCGGCTACAAGTCGATCGCAACAATAATACAACACATGCATGAAAAGACTGGAGACTGTTGAAGACGAAGAAGAAAGAGGTGTGTAGGAACTGGGTATTTACCAACTAGTCAAATTCAATACTTATTTCGAACTGTTAAAAATGACAATTTTCTATGAATTTTATACGCGATTGTGTATTGTGACGTCACATTTTTTTTGTGTCAAACAGCATAGTTATTTCTTAAAAATTTGCTGGAATAATACTAAAATTAAGTTGGTCATAAAATCAATTAATGAAAGTGTGAATAGTTTTTAATATTTGATTGTATTGAACAGTCGAAATAATTTATTTTTGATTAAGGAAAGTACCCAATTGTAGCAATTGGTGTTCCATAGTCTCGGTCTACCTCCATGGGGGAGAAGTGTGAGGTTATGCATGTATAAATAAGGGAGAAGCGTAAATAGAACGTGTTAAAAATCATGCATGTTCTCTGTTGCTGAAATACGACATGACTGGTGGGGACACGGAAATACCTATGTGTCGTTTGTATGAAACACAAGCGGTTGAAAGGTAAATGGTAGAATACAAGACCCTCTTACGTGGAGGAGGTTCTTAGTCTCAAAGTGAACCGTTAAGTTACGGGCTGCTCATAACAATGACTTTTATAAAACACTAATAAATATTTTCTATATGAACAGTCTACATACCTATGGATACCCTTGCCTCCCGCCTTATACTTGGATCCAACAGTGACGGTGGACGCGCGACTCCTGCTTGACTTGCCACTCTTCAAGCTGAGGATATCATCGTAGCGGCGCTTGGCACCAGGCTTGAGTAGTTTTGAGGGTTTTGAGTCTTCTTCTTCAGCGTCTACAGTAAAGAGGCAATTCATAAATGAAGCTTCATTCTCAAATTAATTAATCTGTTAGGGGCATCCATATATTACGTGAGGTGTTTTTTTTAATTGTCTGTCCGTCCCTCCCCCCTTGGTGATCCCATCCCCCAATCTCACGTGAGATTTTTCAAAATGTTGGTTTTTCACGTAAACGCGTTGGATTGTTATCGTAAAAAAACCATGTGCATGTACAATGAAATCTTAAGCATGTACAATCTGGAATAAATGAACTATGAAGTCGGTAAAAGTCGGTAATAATAGTATTTGAGTCGACCCCCTCTCCTTAAACATCTCACGTAATTTATGGACGCCCCCTTATATAGAGCAAAACAGTAAGAATCTTGTCGTTTATGTAGGTATTGTGATATATTTTACAATAACGTCATCTCTAGTGATATCTGTCATATAATGAAGGTAATAAATAGAGCGTGGGTACTTCTGTTGTGTCAGTCGATTTACTGACCACCGGTTGTGCGCATACCAGCCAATCATTAATATCTATATGATATTACGCGATGAACATATTTATATATCAGAATGTCATAGCATTGGCATTACAAATCTTTTGTCTATTACAACTCTGAGATGCTATGTCACGACACAATTGATCTTCAGAGTTTTTAAATGATAACTTAATATATTATTATGTGTTCGGCTTACTCAAGTAATTATTTGACGAGTAACTCGACTAGTTTCAAGCCATACTAGAGGCTCATATTCACACCACCGTCGCCGATACCACGAATGGAGGAAAGTGCGCGTGAATCACGGCAGAGGGCGCGCTGGGCCCGCAGACTCGAGTAGCCAGTAGGAGCGCGACAGTTGCCGCGTCGCGTGTCGCGAAATGCTGCTCATGAATATGAGCCTCTAGCATGGCTTGAAACTAGTCGAGTTCCTCGTCAAATAATTACGTGAGTAATCCGAAAACATAATAATATATTTAGTACGTCTCACGAAAGTTATAATACAGATAACTTAATATTTAAATAAAGTTATGAGTACTGTTATTCGCAAAACATTATAATCAGTATTATTAAAATAAATCTTACCAGTATCATCAGTGTCTGTGTCAATATCCCCGCTCGGTCGTGGCGTGTCATTATCATCATCGTCGTTTTCGAACGCATCATCAGTGATGATCAGTCTACCATCAGGCGCAGTCTTGAAGCCACCATCCTTCTTCTTTTGTGCTTTAACTTCTGATGCCTTCTGCTTACGTGATGGGTCCGTTGCTAGAAGAAGTAAGTAGTGAGAAATAAGCTTTATTGAGGATGTTATAAAGCTTTTTGTTCAGAACGTAAGTTGGTGAACATTGAAATGGTCATTATTGCATTCCAGATTCAGATCAATACCACTGATCTTTAATTGTTTCTGCAAATATTGACCTATTCGCTATTGGTAACGAGAATTAATCCTTCATGTGTATAAACGTGGATGCACGCGAGACACAATGTATTTTCTATCGTGTAACATATCAGTGCATTCAAGCCGTTAAAGGCTGATTTTCTTTGTGGGTCATAATACAAATTGGTCGATTGTACTTTTTACTATAATCTGTCTATCATCAAGAAATTCACAACTAACATAAATTCTGTTATTAAATAAGTACCATATTATTATAATGAGCAGAATAATTCTATTTTGACCTTTTGCCTGTATGCGGTTTAATTGAAATAAATATTTTGTCTTGGAATATTATTTTCTGACAACATACCTGTAATCTTCCTAGAAGCTGAAACATCAGCCAAGTCCACAATATTATCTGGGTCATCCTCGATCCAGGCCTGGTTTTTGCCCTTGGCCTTGGTCATCTTCTTGACCTTGGGCCTCGGCTTATCATCCTCTTCATCCAAGAACTCCATCTCGGAGTCAGAATCTTTGAGAATGTCCTCTAAAGTTTTTGATGTGCCCTTGATTGGCATATCCGTGTCTGAATCATCTGACTGGTCACTGAAACATTGATGTTGTGTTAGAAAAATGATTGAAAGGTTGGCTAGAAGACCGGCTGGATAAGGGTTAGCGGTTCTCGATTATCATAAGGAGTAACAAATTCTTAGTGTTCCACAAATTATTCTTTTAAATCCAGCTACTGCCACGGCACAGCAGTAAATCGTAGTGAATAATCTTTTTGCATAAAAAGGTGGGTTAAAAATATCTGGATAGCTGCAGAGGCGTAATTGTTTTTTTTTTTTTTTTTTTATAATATTAAAGATTGTTTCTCCACGGACTCTAGGTCCGTGCCCTTGTCATACAGTTTTTTAATTATAATACATCTAGTCAATATTTATAAAGTAAAGAGGGAACCTAGTTACATACTACAATTAACTACATCTATAATTATTAACAAAAGTATAGGTTACATAATAATTAGGCACTATTTATTTATTTCTATTTCAAAGGCTTTATGAAACCAGCCCACCAACACGATGGGAGAGCCGACCTGACCCAGCAGAAGGCACCCGTTCACGAGTATGACGTGTGTGTCAGCAATTGGTCCGGTCAACCTTTTTATTGGGAACGGAACAACCCAACACACAGCGCCACCGACTGTAGGACATTTATGTGTGCATGACGCCTCAACCCTTGCCACATGGGCCGATTCCAATAAAGCGTACAATAGTCCAAAATTCAATTGGTCATATTCTATTTCTACATGTTTCTGCACACACATTTCCTCATGTTGCATTCGTTCCATCACAAGCAACACTCCCCGCCCAAGAGAGCACCCACGACTGCCGCGTCCCTGTGTTTGATGGCCATTTTCAGGTTGTAGTCCTTAATACCTTGCTCACCCTCATCAGCCGCCTTCCTGATTAGTTTGCTTATCGCGTCTTCACTGTTGTCTGTGTAATAGATGCAACCATGCGTGTGACGCGATATTGCTACTACCGCGTGTGGTACGCTGTCATGTATTTGATGTTTCTTTGTTGCTGTGTTGACAACAATCACATTCGCACACGAAAGTCCCTGTGCCTCGTGTATCGTGAGCACGCGTGATCCCACGGTCGACCCGTATCCCTGGTTCTTAAGGGATTCCTTCTCTGCCTGAGTGTGTACCAGGTATAAAGTGTCGGGGAGTGACTTTGGAATCATCGCCCCCGAGAACCTTTTTATCTCGAGGGATCTCACGAACGACCTGGACGAATATATGCCACTGTAAACTGTGCTGAGGGCATACGCCACATCCATTGGATTTCTGTGGGTACACATCAATTCCTGGCTTATGGGCGTGATATATGTAGGGCGGCTGTAGAGTAGAGGGAAGAGGTTATCACGATCTATAAACGGAAGCTGATTTATGTCACCAATTAGAAGGACTTCCTTGCCTCGAGTTATTCGGGCGGCCATCACAACGGCTCCAAAGTGGTTCATGAGAGCCTCATCTACCATTAGGCGATGGCAGCTCTCTCGCTCCCCCAAGCCGTTTACTAGGATGGACGCCATTGTTCGAACCCTAGATTTGACGAGTCCTCCGATTCGGCAGGATAGTTTGCCTCTGAGGTCATTTGCTGCTTCGGTTGTCGTGGTGACAATTAGATCTTTTAGAGGCGTAATTGTTAACCGTAACAATTTTTTTTTATTATTTTACACATCAGTAACCCCCCTATCACGGCGAAACACAAGGGAGGCATTGTTTCACGACGGTTTTCTGTAAAGCCGTGGTATCACTCCGGTTAAGCCGACCCACGTAAAAAAATCCCATTCCTGAAAAGTAAACTGGTAATTCAATATACTCACTTCTGATTCTCCTTCTGTCTCTTCTTCCTATTATCCATCTTGCGAATATTCCTCAATCTTCTCAACATAACCTCATCAGTCGGTGGAATTAGTTTCTCCACTGTATCAGCTCCGAATTTCCTCATCATTTTTGTTAAGAAGTATCCTATCTCCAGCCGGGAGTGCCTCTTGCAGTCTTCTGGCATGGTAGATAGGGATTTGAAGATAACTGGTAGACTGCCCGCCAGGACATCTGTTGGTAGTACTTTTGTGTACACCTGTGTGAGGAATACGTGTAATTTTGTTAAGATTTGCGATGAAAAGTAATGTGGTATAGAGAAAAAAAATTATATATTTTTTTAAATAAGTCTTAACCAATACATAATAAGAATACCAAAGACACTTTTTAACAAAGCATTGAACAATGGCTTGCGTTATATCATAAAGATAACACTGTCGCTCATGAATATGGGCCCCGAGCGTCGCTTGAAACTAGTCGGGTGACTCACCAAACATATTTAACTTGACGTCTCATGACAGTGACAATTAAAATGAAGACATAACATATCAAAGTTACAACCTACCTTCAAAAAACTCATGCAAGCAGCAACTATCTCCCTGTTGTTATTGGTCATGTGTTCCACCACAGTCTCCAGCAGACCCTGGACAGTCTCCAGCCCCATGTCTTCTGAGAAGTTAAACAATGCTGACGCTATGGCGCGGAGTGTAGCGCTGACGATTCGAGGGAGCGGCGCTGAGAGACCCGAGGTCAACATGTTCACGAATGCTTGCATGCCTGGGGGATAAACGTTAAATATTTTATAACAATTTCATTTGAGAAAAAACGTTAGTATTTTAGTAGCAAATACACACATTTAGTTTTTCAGTACATGTAAGATACACGCGAAAAACAACCCTACCTACAGTCGTGTACAAAAAAAACAACTAAACCGAAAATTATTTTTCGAATATGATGATGGTAATGATATTTATGAGTTGGTTCCATGACGTCGTTTAACTTCTTGACTGCTGGTATATAAGACAATAGAAAATATTAATGGATCTGCGTCCCGGCACACGACGGGATCAGGAGCTAATTATAGGTCCCGAAGTGGGTCGAAAGTAGTCAAGCTTTCTCGAATAATTCGCCTGAAGCATTAAAGATTTGAAAATCAAGCACACTAAAACTGATTTATAAGTTCATGAACTACGAGAACATCAACTTAAGTTCCATACAAATAAAGTATATATTCCCTCACCTCCTTCCTGCGACTTCAGAACGGTTCCAACACTGTTTATAAGGTTGAAGGCACACTGCCTACATTTGCTATTGATGTCCTTGGTACATATCACAGATTCCGCTATAGCGCTCTTCAATAACTTACTCTCCGCGTTCAAGAACGGAGTCGTATTTATTAAGTGTTCTATACATCTATTGACAAAAAACAAGATAAATTGTACAGCTGTAAAAGGTTTATATTATAACTTTCGTGAGACACATTAAATTAATTAAAAATCGCAAGGTACTCACGTGAATATATTGAGAAAAGCTCTACTAATTTTGAACCGCACACGCTGCTTATGAGGAAGAACCCCTCTGTGGTTCGAAACTAGTAGAGCTTTTCTCAGTATATTCACGTGAGTAACCCGCGATCTTTAGTTAACCTGTAAAAGGTGTTCTAAAATTGACTTCTGTGTTAATCAAGAGGTCTTTAGGTTAGCTCAACTTCTGATCAAGGGGGTTCGGATTTGATTAAAAAATCAGTAAAAGGACTTTGCAATTATATCAGTAAAAATACGAAGCTTAACGCCATGCAAAGTGCAGATAGACTAGCTTCTATTAAAATGGATGAAACATAACTAGAAAATAGTAGGTAATGCTTTTGTATAAATTATGCACGCCTCTATAGCTAGCAGGTTTGAGTAAAATTCAATAGACTTAAATACTTCAATAGACCTTAGGAACTTCAGAACAACCTATGGAATGATGAATAAGCAAAAGATTTTGGATTATGACATACATATTTTGAAGTTTTTTTTTAAACATTGCCCCACATTAGGATTTTCTCCTGTGTCGTGGGTGCGTTTACAAACATACAAGTTCATATACACAATGACACCCAGACCCGAAACAACAAATTGTGGATCACACAAAGTGTTGTTCCGTGCGGGAATCGTACCCGCGACACGTCGCACGGCAGCCGGTTGCCCAGCCACCGCACCAACCGTGCAGTCAGTTGAGGTAAGTATAGATAGAAATTACATTCTTACCTCAATCTAGCAGCTTTACTGCTATCAGCGACCTTATTCAAGGACGACATGAGCAACTTCTTAATCTTCTTATAATTCTCTTTCAAAAACTCTTTGCAACTCTCTTTGTCACTTTTGAAAATCTCTTCTAATATCCTATAAGCCTTCTTGTGTTCCATTTCTAGAAGTTTTGATTTTTCTTTATATTTTAATTCACTCTTCTTTTCTCCCTCTCCATTCTCTGTGTCCATTTGATTCTCTTTTTTGGCTTTTTTATGTTTTTTCGGATCTTCCAAAACTGTTTCGCACAGTGGATATACCCATTCGTCAAATAGTTTGGCTATTCGCTCGCTAGTTTGATATAGGACTAACGTCCTTATGATGTCTAGAATCGCTTCCCTTTGGAAGTGGTTTTCTTTTGACGTTTCTAACTGTTGGAGGGCGTTAGTGAACAGTTCTTCGCGTAGTGTTTGGTCGCTTATTGTAAGGTATACCTGTCGAGATGATTTTAGATATTATTATGTGCTTTTTACAATTTAAAGTTACGTTAAAAAAGGCTTAATCTGGTTTCTGTTTGTTTCGTATACAAAAATAAAACATGTTTCATTTTTAAGTTTCCATCTTAAATAGAGCTTATGAAAAGTGTACGCATATGATTAAAGGCTACGGTAGAGCTCGAAACCGCTCGAGGATTTTCTCAGTGCAATAATAGAAGTAAGCCGCGTAATCATTATTTAATTTAGTATATTAAGGGCCTGTTTCACAATGTCTGCTGATGTTGATTTTAAGTGAAAGATACATATTTGACACGTTTTGTTGACAACATAACATAACATCACGCCTTTTATCCCCGAAGGGGTAAGCAGAGGTGCACATTATACCACTGTACAATGTAACATCCACTTTTCACTATTTATGTTATAAGTCCCATGTAATAGGGGGTGAGCCTATTGCCATATACCGGGCACAATTCCAGACTCCGTGCTACTACTGAGAATTATTTAAAAACTCAGTAATACTTTGCCCGACCCGGGAATCGAACCCGAGACCCCTTGCCCGGCAATCGCACTTGCGACCACTCGGCCAACGAGGCAGTCTTTGTTTGTTGACAAATACACCAAATTGTGAAAAAGCTTTAAGCCTTTGACTGCCGACAGAAAACTGAAGACAAATCATCCGCTAACGTTGGTCACCGGTTACCTACGTGACGGTGAACGTGTTAAGTATATCATATGTGAAATAATACAAAAATTACCTGTATAGTTTCCAAAGCAGCCAGCCTGTGTCCTTCAGCGTAACTTCCCTTAGCGGGCGACATGTACACGTTCAATAAAATCGGCAAATAATTCTTCGCAAACCTGCCCAATTCTAGCTTATCTTCTTCGTTATCGGCAGAACAAGTTATAAGCTTCCTAAGAGCCTGCATCACTGACAACCTAAACTCCGGGTTATCTTTCAAAACGCTACCTAAAACCCTTGCTATAGATTTGAAACTATCTTTTATATCTTTCGGACTATTACAAAACGAGGGCAATAAGGCCCAAAATTGATTGCACAGCAACTCATAAGTGTGCGAACCGGGGACATCCTTCATTTGGGTCAACTCTCTAGACCTTTTGCGACAAAACGTTGCCATTTCTAGAATTTCTGTTGCGAAGAATTTGAGGTTGGAATTTGTTATCTTTTCTTTGAGTACGGGAAGGAGCCAGCTTCGTTCTAAGTTTATATTTTCTGGTCCATCTCTCAAAGGTATTATGCGAAGGACAAATTCTGGGCCTAAAGATTTGATGGCGCATCCAGTAGCGTATTCAACCTCCTTGTCGTTGTCAAAGTTGTGACTCTCGCGACGGTCATTCAGTTTTCTCAATAGAGGTCCCAGTGAGTTTGCTACTTTTTCGTTGCCGATCTGTAAGAGAAAACTGACTTATACTACAATTTTAAACAAAAATAAAGGAGTTCTCCTGAAAAAATTATCAAATATTTGCAAAAGGATTTTACACATATTTTTATTATGTATGTATGTATACTTTTCATTTTTTTTAAACGTTGCCCCACACTAAGGATTTTCTCGGGTGTCGTGGGTGCGTTTACAAACATACAAGTTCACATACACAATGACACCCAGACCCGAAACAACAATTTGTGGATCACACACAGTGTTGTCCCGTGGGGGAATCGAACCCGCGACACGTTGCACGGCAGCTGGTTGCCCACCCACCGCTTCAACCGTGCAGTCATTGAAATGCTATTGCTACTTAACATTCACTACACTAATGTCGGAATACTGAAACGCTACTCAATTTTAAGTCGTGCTTAAGTATAGTTCTATCTCTACAAATTCTTTGTAAAATGACAGAGATGGCACGATATTTGAGCACGACTTAAAATTGAGTAACGTTTCAGTATTCCGGCAAATGTCTTTAGTATACACAAACTGTTTTTCTTGTTCTTTCTTTCAAAAAAGGTACATTTAAATATTAACCTAAAATCCATACAAATTAAGTCCATCTTTCATCGAAGGACACAGTTCTAGTCATTATATCCAACATATCTATACATAAAAGAAGATAGCTTCGATATGCGATTTATTAAACAATTTTACGCCTTACCGTAACGTAAATAAAGTATAAATTACCTCGAAACAAACAGCTATAGTCATCACAACGTGGCGGATAGCTTGATTGAATGGATTGTCGAGTCCCGTGCCGATACTCTTGAAGATAGCTTCGACATGCGACTTGTGTTTGATAAATGTCTCGTCGGAATCCAGGGCTAACTTCACACAGTCCAGTATAATAGCCTGTTGAGGGAGAAATGTTAGAAATAAGTATAAATAGATGTATTTTAGATATTCATAAACAGGATGTAAACGGAACCCTCCAGAAACGCTGACAAAATAAAATTATTTTTATAATTTTAATTGTTTTTGTGTTGTTCAAGCAACATCAGCCTTGGCCAGTTGATTTCAATTATTATTACATAAAAGAAATATTTAATTCCATACTTGTAGGATATTAAAATTAGTTTTTATAATAACTATCGTGAGACATACTAAATTAACTAAAATTGCGGGTTTTTCACGTGAATATACTGAGAAAAGCTCTACTAGTTTCGACTGAGCTCGTGAGCTGCGCGACGACGCCGCGACCGCGCACACTGCTCATGAGGAAGAACCCCTCTGTGGTTCGAAACTAGTAGAGCTTTTCTCAGTAAATTCACGTGTGTAACCCGCGAGTTTTAATTAATATTAAAATTTGTTTTTTACCATCACCTGACGGTGTTTTGCGGCAGCATTCCGCTTACACCCTGTATAGAGCCTATTACCATATTGCAAGCAGTTTCAGACATCATGTTACTACGAAAATTTTTGCAAAATCAAAACAGTTCCATATTAATTAGCTTGACTTGGGAACTGAACCCCGTGCAAGGGGTCTTTGGAATCGAACCCGAAAACTATCGACTCTTACTTTAATCAAAAATAAGTTATTTCGGAAATTTATAATATTAAAAAAAAAAAATTAAAAAGTATAGTCATAACATAGTTTTTAATATAATTATTTTTAACTGTAAATATGTTACCTTTAAAGCGTTTGTGGACGCGGAGTTGATGTCAGCGACGTCAGAGAGCCACAGCTCAGAGACACAGATGTTCACGAACGCTGGTAAGTTCGGCATACACAGGTTCAGATCCAGACTGGTGAGAAGAAAAAATTGAAATTTCCTTGTTATACTGACTTTGAATTTTGACATATTAAAATGGATTATCCGATTAGAGAATCGAACTCAAGCGAAACTACGGCGTGTTTTGTAGCGCGAGTGAGATTACCGGAGTCCAAATACATCCACCCTAATCCTCAAATTAATAACCCCCAAAAAGGTTGGCAAAGCACCTATAACGCCTCTAGTGTTCCAGTTGTACAGTAAAAGGTCAAAAGTCATGCCAGCGTGAGTGATGTTTACACGGCAATGCGTAAGTAATTTCATATGTGCATAAAAACACGTGCGTGCGCATAAACACACGCACGCGTACGCGCACGGTTAAAAATATGCGTGTGCATGCGCTGTAGCGCTTATACACACTTATAAGCGCTACAGCGCAACCGATAATAATCTTACGATGGCAGTGGACTTTTGACCTTTGACCGTACATGGGCGACGCTGATTGCTTACCATCAGGTGATCCGTGCGCTCGTTTATCAGCTTATCCCATACAAATCCTAATACAACAACGCCAAACAAACACATTCATTATTCCCGACTTAGTGCTGGATACTTTCAAAACTTCTAAAACTAATTTACATCAGTGCCATTAGATAATACAAGCCAATACGCAACACAAATAAAAACAATAAAAAAATCCAACTTACTTAGCCAAACAGCAATATCCTTGTTGCAACACAGCGGCCCAAGCCAGTACTTGTCCTGTATCATTGGCTGGGGGCCGGGCGGCCATTAATGCCCTCGTCAGTTGTACAGCTAGCGACGCTGTCATGTTACTGGTATCTTTACTGCTTGAGAACAACGCGTGTAGTGTGTGTAGACAACACGTTTTTATGTACACGTTGTTGTGTGTCATTAGGGATAGTATCGCCTCACATATTGACTGTGAAAATAGAATTAATTTGGTTAAAGTTTGGTGTAGAGAATGCAATCTCGATCGCGCGAAATCTTATACATTTTTGGCTAGTTTAATCTCGGTCGAAAAATGGATGATACCACGAAGTTGACGAGTTCTCGCGAGACTGGCGAGATCTTGTAAGATTATAAAATGCAGTCTAGCGAGATCGAGTCCAGTTTAGCAAGATGAATGTCGGTTGCGAGATCTGAGTTTGTTTCGGCATTTCTTCTCAGAGTAGTCAGTTAGGAAATATCGACCTCATCGTTCGCTTGATAAAATTGACGTGTAAAAGTGCTGCCTTGTAGCCTGTTTGCAGAAATAAATTCACTTGTATCACAAGATTGCATTCTCTAGTGGTGTATTATTCGGTAAAGTCTAATTCAAAGTTTTTTATTTCAATGTGGGTTTTGAAAGTTAACAAATTTGTGTTTCAGCAATACAGTGTTGTGTGACAATAATTAGTTAATTATATAAAGGATATTTTCTGTTGTTGATACAGAATTTCGTATGGACTTCACAAAGACTGAAGAGAAATTTTCCTGCGCTCGATAACTTACTGTTTGAATAGTACCCATAAATTACTAAGTCGAAAGGCGAAACTAACGCCTATACAAGTATATTCTTAAAAGTATCATAGCATTATCCCCGAATGTAACACCCACTTTTCAGTATTTATGTTATAAGTCCCATGTAATAGGGGGTGAGCCTATTGTCATACCGGACACAACTCCAGACTCCGTGCTACTACTGATTTTTTTTAAACCCAGTAGCACTATGCCCAACCCAGGTCTAGTCTAGTATAAAAAATAATGAAACACACCTTGATATAATCCTTGCTAAATACAGGTAGAACGTCTCTAAGCATCGTCAGTGTATGTAACACAATTCGATGTCCGGCCAACAGAGCTTCAGCCTTGATCTGAGACAAACAGAACTCGGCTACGCGGTTCGATCCCGGGTGGAGTTTTGGTACCTGAAAAATGAACTTTATTAATAAAAGAATACGTTTGTTTATCTACGCCCATATTCTGATAAGATGTAAACAGCAAAATGTTAAATGATTTTCAATTTAAATGCGAAATCAAAAGCTTTACAATCATGTGTTTCCTAATGTTCTAATTTTTTTATGATCCAATACCTTAACTTTCTGGTCATCAGACGGGATCATGAAACAGCTGCCGCGTAGTACTGACGTCACCGCATGCTGGGCAGCTTTACGTACCTACAGCAAAAATAATAAAGATTTACTAAAACCTTTCAATTAATGAGAAACCATTGCTATAGCCTATGCTCAAGGGATTAAGGCACACTTAAAATGTCAGTCAACCAATAAGTTTAATGATATTAATTAATATGATTACAATATTAGCTAACTTTTATTATAGCATAAGCCGGTAAACGAGCAGACGGATCACCTGATGGTAAGCAATCGGCGCCGCCCATGGACACTCGAAACACCAAGGCGTTACAAGTGCGTTACCGGCCTTTTGGGAATTGGGAATTTGAGGATTGAACTAATTATATTCCCTTAAAACTAAACAAAACCCACCTTAGGTTTAGAATGCAATGCAAACGCAAGTAAAGACTCGAAGACCCTCATGGTGGACGAATCACCCCAGAGAGCATACTCCTGCGCCCTCAGCAACACAGAGAGGCATCCTATAGCACTCCGCAACATTGTCCCATTCTGAACCAATTCATCCTTCTCCAAGATGTCCACGAATATTTTTGCTGACATTGAGAAATACTTCCTCAAAACTGCTGGAGGTACATTCTTGATACCCATAGATACTAATGTCAGTGCTGCCACAGCGTTCTCTTCCAATTCTGATGTTTTTAGGGTCTCCATCTGTGAAATAAGAGTTGAAGTTTTTATAAGGACAATTTCGTAGTAGACATCTGTAAAGTGTAAAGTAACTATGTTTATAATGAAAAATACTTATTTTCAGTATCTAATAAATTGAATTACACAAATAATTTCGTAATTATAAGACAATCCTTATCCTTCTCCTTAGTTTGATAATTGATTTTAATTTCACTGCAAAGGATTGAAAAGGACAGTAGCTGTAGTAGGTAGTAGGACGATCAGCTGCAGAATCAGAATTTATTTATTTATACATTTGGAAAACCAACAGCGATACAATTTGATTAAATAGAATGTGGTATGCAACAAGAAGCCAATTACTGGTTTCCACGATTAGTAATAATAATAAATAATAAAAATAATAAAAAAAATGTTTATTTGGTGTAAAAAGCCGGATTACAAAATAAATCTTAATATCTAAACAAAGTCTAAAAATATGTGAAACCTGAACTAGGTCCAAGCCTGTGTTTCAGGTTAAAAATGTACTGAAATATTTAAAATACAATAATATTGCTTATAAAACTAAAAATGTTATGTCTAAATTAAATTAAGCTAGTCTCTAAGTATAACAGGTGCGCGTGTACAGTTTCATAAACAAACGTAAGCAAAAATAACTAAGTCAACTATAATAAAATTATTTGCTTACTTCAAGTAATTCCTCGGTTTGATCGTATGTTAAGGTGTGTACATAATTATGTAATAGTTTTTTACAGTGAAAGTGATTGAGGCTATAAATACTTTTTTAGATTAGATTAGATTAGTAACAGAGAGTAGAAACATACCAATTGACACAGCACTAAAATTACTTATTAAACTCATTAAACCACAGGCAATCTAAATAGATGCACAAATTACTCCAATATTAAGGACCATATAGAAATTATTACTACACGACGATAATAACTTTGGAAGGTTTTAGCCGATTTCCAATTTCCTCTGGCTAAGATGTCACCAAGAGGATAGTTTTTAATCCAGTTGCTAGAAGCTACGGCTGAGCGCACATTTTCGGGGGTTCGTTAATTTAGCCAACCGGCTATAACCGTACGGGATGCAGGAGATGGCGACCTGACTGTATGTACTACAGTCAGTTTTAGTGCCAAAAAGAGGCCAAAGGATAATACGGACTTCTCTCTCTCACGTAGGTTTAGTAACCTTGAGTTTCTTTACGGATATAGAGTTTAAAATATGTTTGACTAAGACATCTTTGCTCAAGTTGCCAGATAAATTTGTATTGCAAAGCGTGGAAAGTACAAATTTGTGAAGAAGAATCGTATTGTAAGAGAAATTACTTTTTCAGGTAAGTACAAGTCTGCTAGGAACTGAGCTATTTCTGCTCCTACTGGATTTGTCAGATTTATTTTATGCAGATTTGCCCACACTTTCCATCGGTTCTAAGCTACTTTGTATGTTTTCCAAGTAGATGGTCGTAAGGATGATTTAAGCAGATCTCTTTGACTTGGATTCTATGATTTAGTTTTATCTGCCCACCCGCACATTTCCACATCTTTAGAGTTACGTCCTAAACTTTCGCGAGTGGCAACCCTGTTGTTGTATTGATCAGAAACCGATCTAGATTCGCTAATGTGAACGGTGTTGCGATGGCCCGGGACTTGGGGTCTGCTCTCCAAAACACCTTCTCTCAACGAGGAGCTACTACGACTTACACTCCTGTTGACTGATTGAGGTGTGTTATCAACACCTTGGGAATTAAAAACGGTGGAGGGAAAATGCATGCGAGTGGAAACCACGTTGAATGCGTCGTGAAACATTGTTTCCTGGTCGCTGAGATCTAGAGTTGCGTAGTTGGCTTCTACTCGAGCAGTTTTGGATGCAAACAGGTCGATCACTGGTATGCCCATTCTTGCAAAGATCATTTCTGTGCAACTCGGAAGTAGATGCCATTCCAGGGTCTATGATGTCTGGACAGACAGTCCGCGGGATTGTTGAACTTGCCAGGAATGTGTTGAATTTTCAGATAAATCTGATGCCTGTCTAGGATATGAAAAGTCTTGATAGCTAGGTTTATAAGTACTTGCGATATTTTGTCTCGCCTTCGTTGCGAAGACACAACACTGCCGTCTTGATTGTCGGACTGAATAAGCCCAGTGCTTTGGACCATACCTGGCGCCTGAGACTCGAGAATTTTGTAAATCACTAGCATTTCCTTCTGATTGCCATGTAGCTGATTGTCATCCCTGGTCCAGATCCCGCATATCGCGAAGTTGTGGATTTGAGCTCCACACGCTACGTTTGAAGCGTAGGTGGTTAGAAAATGTGTTGGCGGTACATGTATTCGTGTAGCGAGATAACAATTCCGAAGCCATCAATGCATTACTTGAATGACTTGACTTGGAAGGCAGTACCTTGTTCCGGACGGAAGTCTGAGTAATTAATTTAGAAACCTGAGAGAAGAGCGAGAAAAACTGGAAACAAAACTGGTAAAATTTAGTAGGCCTACAAGGCTGTGAAGATCTTTCAGCGATATCTTGCCTATTTCCAATGTTTAAATTACTTTCGAGGCAATAAGAGCAGATTTTTCTAATGAGGTATTTCTGATTTAGCCAAGGATCCTAGACAATCTCGAGGTAAGTTATCATCTTTTGTAGAACTAGAACAGACTTTTTGTATTTTACTTGGAATACCAGATAATCAAGAGTTTCCAATAACATGCTTGTATGACTGGACAAAATGTTCTGATCGTGATGTGCGGGAAGGTAGTCATCTAAGTAAACAATGATCCTCACACATTTTTCTCGAAGTGTTTGTACAATCCAGGTGGTTTGACAAGCAAACACTTTCGGGGCAGTACTGAGTCCAAATGAGAGGCAGGTCATTTCGAGCAACCCCTATTCGTAAATGAGACTCAAGACCCGCCTGTGAGTCTTCGCCAAAGGATCATTGAAATATGTAAGCTTGTGGCATGTCCACCTTGCACGTCCAATCGAGAGGTTGAAGAAAGTCCGGGATAGGAAACAGGTTTATGAGCCGGAAGCGATCTGTCAGCGAGGGGCGCCTTGCAGCAGTGGATTTTGCTCGCGAAGTATTTCCGCTGGTTGACTGATTTGCAGGCCAGAAAGTTCTCTTTATCCCACCTGCACTTTCTATCGCTGCCGTGATCCTTAGTCAAAAAGGTGGATATTGGATTGGTGATTTAGACCAAGTTTAAGATACGTGCACTTTTACCTTTGTGCTTTTACCCCTTCGTTTGTTTCAAGCTCTCTAAATCTAGGTGAGTGATTGCACAATTTCTGAGCTTCAAGGTAACGAACATCTGACCATGACTTACTACTAAAACGTTGAACTGTATTAAACATTTTTACAGATTCTTGTGGGGTAGAAGGTACCGCGGGTCCTTTAGTTTTTGTTTTAATATCAAAATGTTAAATTCGTTAACAAGTCAGAATTTCGGTATATAAAAGCCTACGAGGCAATGCTGCAATAATTATAGAGTTCTCGACTAGCGTCAGAAATGACTGAATCATTGTCATTGATATCATGAAAATAATTTTCATTATTGTATGCTTCGTAATTCACTTACTTTTGATAATTTTTCTAAAAGGAAACGTTCTTGCTTTCGCTTTTTGGAACGACGACGAGGACGCGTTTTCTTTTTTCTTTTCCTCGACTCTCGCGAAGATTTAGAGGAACTAAATGATGAGGTACTGTCGCTACTGCTACTAATAGATATCGCCGGTCGACATCGAGATTTCATACCGAAAGTATTCATTCTGGTTTTGTATTAAACATGTAACACTACCGACCCAAAAGGTCTAAATATACAAATAACCTGTCATCAAAAACAACCAAATACATTCGTAAACAGTAAAAAGAATTGTTATAATAAGTACAATAACACAAGAAAAGTTTTTGACAGAAAAAATAAAAAAGTGGAGGTAGATGTGAAAAATATTTAATCTAACAGACGAATGGTATAACCATTTATTTATAAAATATTTAACTCGTCGAGTACCGGTTTTGTAGACACAATTATAGAACAATAGGATGCGGTCACCGGTGACCGCTTGGTGTTTGACAGTTTAAGAAATTTAAGAAATGAAATTTAATATGATTAGTTCAACTTACAATTGACAAGCTGTATATCCTCAGTCCACAGTGATAGAATCTTACTTTTCGAGCACAAGTTCACTCAAACAAAAATTTCAAAGTAATGAAGAACATAGGCGTGCTGTCTAACAGCTGCGCTATCCCTACTTTGATGAAGGGGGGGCGGGTGCGAAAGGGATAGACGTATTGGGTAGAAAGAGACGGAAATACAATGGATATGTCTATCTCATAAATATAAGCTACTAATAACGGTCAAGTGGTTTAACAATCTGTAACTTTAAAAATTTACATAGATAACACAATTTTTAAGTACCACATGAAATTTTATATCATGTCAGTTTCCCATTGTTATTCTCTTAGTAGGATTAGGTAACTCTTTACTTTAATGTGAGAAGGCTACTAATTATCCAGGACAGCTATATTGTAATTTAGTTGTCTATTATCTTAATGTTTACTAACCAGAGCTGCAAAGTACTCAGTGGTGGATTCCTTGCCTCCTTGTTCTTTGATGACTTCTGTCACTGCAGCTAACACTGCCAACATCTCCTTGTGCAGTCCATTGTTTGAGTCAAATCTTGTCAGCAATCTGAAAGAAAAAGTAATAAATTAACTCGTCGAGTACCGGTTTTGTAGACACAATTATAGAACAATAGGTTGGTGTTTGACAGTTTAAATAGATTGTACTATTGGGTAGTCTTTCACATGCATTTTTATACATTGAATTTTGATTAATTTAAATGTAAAAAAAAATAGTTTTTTTTAAATAAAGGTTGCAGTGAACCATAGTAAAACAGTTTAAACTGGGTATCCTACAATCTATGTAGGATACCATACCCAGTACCCATTGCTGAATCTTTTGAAGTCTGATGTAATAATTTTAAAAGTCATTGAAGAAGAGATATTCTCCAATTTTTGGGTTTTGATTTCGATAAAACAAAAAATTGATATTCATGGAACATGCTTACTTTTTACTATGAAGACTTAGGAACAGTACAGACAAATAACAGTAAATCAACAGCATAAGCATACTCACTTGCTAAAACTAACATTAGAACATTGGCTCCAGTCAGAGGCAAATGTCTGAAATGTCTTATAAGTGCCAGATTTAAATGACTCTGAATATTCTGTCTCTGAACCTTCATCTCCACTCTTCATAGACATGTTCTCTAGCTCCTTAGCTATAAGCAACTCGTTTTCTGCATCAGACTTCTTCTTCAAAGATGCATGACCATAAGTCATCATGGCATCGTGTTTTGAAACAGCTTGCTGAGTTAAACCGGTGCTTCCTGTAGAATATTGAGTATGTGAATTTATGTGCTATGTATTTTATAAGTTAGACATTAAATAACTTAAAGTAAAGGGCCGTAGTAGTGACATTTTTGTTTTGATTTTGTTTGTAGGTTAAAGGAATAAATAACGTTGTTTTAGGAGATATTGTAAACAAATATTTACAATTATTAGTACAAAAATTAGTAAATAAGGTGGTTAGTAAATATAAGTTAAAAAATTTAACCAAATTACCTAGATTTTCCTGAAAAAACCGGGATTTCGCCATATCCCGGTATTTCTGTATTTTTGGGTTGGAGTTTGACGACTGTCCCTTCTGCCATCTCTTTCCTTTCGATTTCCCTTTTAGTTTTGATCTAAATTTACCCATTTTCTTTAATTCATAACACGAGTTTCACACTTATAAACACCACACGTGGTTGAGCAACTTTTTGAAGTGAAGTTAGCTGCAAATCGCTGATAGCTGTCAATGTCAAAACTGTCACTGGATTTTTTCAGGTTCGCCAACATTCCGGAACCATAGAAGTATTATGCAAGACCCAATAGTAATAATTTTTTAATAAATATCACGATATTTTTTATTCATCCATTTAATGTATTGATACCTTCAGTCTCTAACAATTCTATTTTATGTCATTATATGTACTTTGATGAACTTTATTTAAAATTATTTTGGTTTTGAGCATTCCCAATCAAGCATAAACTTTTTGATAGATCTAGAATAAACCAAAAAAACATAAACAGACAACATAACATCAAGCGGAACGGAACGCAGTTCTAATAATTTTTCTTCATTCACCTTCGCTTTACTTGTTTCATTGACGTTTTTCTTGTTTGTAAATAATAATTGCTGGAAATAGTACGCAATGTGAAATTGTACGCATTCCTCGTTCCATTGCACATTACGTAAACGTTAAACATCGTTTAGTAGTCGAATTGATAGCGCAAGAAATATCCTAACCTAATGTGTGTCTTGTTCTACTGAGGTGTTGAAGCTATGATAGAAGATAATGCCTCAATTTAGAAGAAAAAAGGCGTCAAAGTCGTTCCCAGTTAAAGTGTGTACGCTAGACGCTGAATTGGAATTTAACCTTGAGGTGAGAATTTTGACAAATTGATGTTACATTATAGTAATTGGTAAGAAAGATTACATTGTTATTGTTTATTGTCAAAATTGGTATGTTAGCGGGATCCTTGGCTTGCAATGAGTAGGTAGTGAGTCACCGTAACTCGGCGAACCCGTAAATTACCTTAATAATACACAGTGGTGATAATTGAAGGCTTGTTTAGTCATTATTTTCTCTTTTATCATGGTTTGATTCACAGCTCGTGTGTAGTTCTCTTGTTAAATACGGTTTAGACCTAAATTCAAGGTGGAAAATGTATTTTTGATGGTTTCAATATTCTGTTTACCTTATAATGCATTAGTCTTCTTTATACCTCAAAGATATCAAATTAAACACAATGCTTCAAGTACCTGATAATATAAAGAAATATTTTTTGTGTTACCTCTTTATTTGTTTACTCTTGGACAGTAAACACTATTATTTATGTCAAACTTATTAGTAACTTTTTCATCATGATATACCTCAAACCTAATTTTATTCTTATTGTCTAACTCAACATCGTATTGGAGACTCGGTTGCCAAAAGAAGAAAAAAAAATTGTCTACCTCCATAAACAACAAAAAACATATATAATATCTACCTACATATTATATGTTTTCTGTTGTTACAATTTTGAAGACATTTATACAAAAATAGATCAAAAAGTGACACATATTTAGGAATGTAGTATGTTAATTAATTTATTATAATTTATAATACAAATAAATCACTTTTGGAACCATTCCATAACAATGTGAAACTTAAACAATTGAGCAATCATTACTTTGACCTGGAAAGGTTAAGAATGCAGAATTTATTAAACATAATTAAAATCAAGTTTTACACACATTACACTTCATTTTAGTTTGCAACCGTCAGTTGATGTGCTTAACTTAATGTCTGTGATTGAAATTCCAATAACTGTGTTAATTGTTTTTATCATTCTGCTGCATATGCACAGCAGAAATTGTGTAGAATGTCATTAGCAAGTTCGAAGTACATATATACATACATATAAGTATGACATGTATTCAACTGCATGGTTGGTGCGGTGGCTTGTCAACTGGCTGTCATGCAATGTGCAGCTGGTTCGATTCCTACATAGACCAACTCTTTGTGTGATTAAAAAATTGTTGTTTCTAGTCCGGGTGTAATGCATATCTAAAATAGTATGTTTGTCAATACAACCACAACACTGGAGAAATTTCTATGAGAGGCAAAGTTTTTTTTTAAGTAATAAAATAAATGTTTATCTTGGACTTATCGTAGACATACTGCACTCTACGACTTCATTAAAGGGATATACACAAACCACAGCTCACCGTCTAGTTAGTCATACAAGCATACCAAATATAGTTACCTTATTATTATATAGGTATATAAGTAACCACCCATATACCTTATTAATTATTTAATTCCGGTTTACTCAAGTAACTGTTTGACTATGAACTCGACTAGTTGCAAGCCATACTCAAATTTATAAGTAGCATTTCGCGACCAATGATATTTCATTTAGTATGTATATCTCATGAACGTTTTAATAGAAGCTGTATACCTTATATCATAATGTATACAACATCCATAGTTGGTGCTCAGACATTAGTCACGGGATGACCAGTAACATAATGGATGTTTGACATTTGATAACATATGAACTCCTCACTGATAACTGTATGTTCCAATATTGTAGTGTATGGACTGGATACAACATTATATTGTCGTATTATAGTGTAAAATGTAAGCTTGTTACGTTCAAATCAAATTTTAATTATGACTAAGACAATGTAGTCTAATTAGAAGTATTGATATGAGGATAGAAGTATTATAACCATAATGGGTAGACTACAAATAGTATTACAATATGCCATGAGTCACTATGTAGTTACCGAGTTCATTAGAACAGGTACATAACTCTTCTAAAATGTGAACCTATGAGAATCTAATCTACGGGATTGACTGTCAAAAATTACTGTACTTTTTTTGTGCAAATGTTAAATGCTTCTGTGGAATAATAATTTCTATGCGTCACTCTTCCTATTATTAACTATTTGACCAGTAAATATCAAGTGCTGCATTAAAACCCTGACAGGGAAGGACAGGAATACACAACTGGACGGCATTTATATTCAATGATTACCTGTTTTCCCAGTTTCACAGAGGATGTTTCATTTTGTTAATTTCTATACAATAATAATCATCATATGAATCAGTTATAAGAAGTAAATTAGTGAACATAGGCTTCCCCCAACCAATGACTTCTGTAGATGATTAATTAAACAGGCAGAGGTGTACATTACGGCATTTAATGCCACTGTACAATGTTACACCCATTTTTCACTATTTATGTTATGAGTCCCATGTAATAGGGGTGTGCCTATTGCCAAATACCGGGCACAATTCCAGGCCCCGTGCTACTACTGAGATTTTTTTAAAAAGCCCAGTAATACTTTGCCTGACCCGGGAATCGAACCCGAGCCCCTTGCCCGGCAGTCGCGACCACTCGGCCAACGAGGCACCATGATTAATTAAATAAGAAATTAAATATTTGTTACAGTGGAGAGCAACAGGAAGAGACCTATTTGACCTAGTATGCAGGACTATAGGCCTGAGGGAAACATGGTTCTTTGGGCTGCAGTTCGAGGACACAAAACATTTTATAAGCTGGCTGAAGTTGGATAAAAGAGGTTGGTTGTTAACAATTGCTTATTGTATACATAAGATGTATAGAGAATAACTTGGATATGAAAGTAAAATTGTCTTAAGAATTTGTTATTTTTTTTTATGGCATTAGCCGGTAAATTAACAGAGCAGACGGATCACCTGATGGTAATCAATTGGCGTCGCCTTTGGACACCTGAAACACCAGAGGCGTTACAAGTGCGTTACCGGCCTTTTGGGGATTAGGAGTTTGAGGATCGTTGGGGATTCAGGAATCGGGGAGATTGGGGAAGGGGAGGGTAATTGGGCCTCCGGTAACCTCACTCACACGACGAAACACAACGCAGGCGTTGCTTCCCGTCGGTTTTCTGTGAGGCCGTGGTATCACTCCGGTCGAGCCGGCCCATTTGTGCCGAAGCATGGCTCTCCCACACTTGGAATACAAAATATCGAAAAACAGCTACATATTTATGTCAGCTAACTGGGGGCTACCTGGCTCTAATGAAGCAACTGATCAAAGCGCCCAACGCAGTCTCGTTTCGATTAACAACTTTGAACGTATAACAAACTAATCTAAAGCCTTTTTATTTGTCTGGGTGTTATATTTAGGGTTGCCACCCGTACTTTATAATAAAGTATTGTACGTTATTTAAGGTAATTGTACTCTATACTTTATAAGAATAATAAAGTACACGAGAATACTTTATTTTTGCAAAATTCGATATCGATATTTATCGACTTATGTTGAATCGATTTCGCCACTCGCCAGCGTCACTTAGACAATTTCTAGTAAAGATGCAATTGTTTAGTATTTCAACGCAATTGTTTAGTAAAGATACTAATTTAATACAAACTGCAAAAAGCAATAAGAAGTATATTTTTAAATATAATATTCAATAAGAATAAATTGTACTTTATTTTTGTACTGTGTACTTTTTTTTCTTACCTATAATCGACAAAGTACTTTAAATACCAAAATAAAAGGTGGCAACCCTAGTTATATTCCAACGTTCCCAGTCATTTTTCCAAGATAAAAATATTGTACATACCTCATATTTATAATAAAGAATACAAAAAGAATAGTTCAATTTGACAGTAAATCAAAGTCAAAATCATTTATTTCAATTAGACCACGAAGGCACTTCTGAACGCTAACAAAAAATGTAAAAGTGAAGCTATTTGCTCGTTCCAAGGTGTAGATTTCTATGGAGAAGAACAAGCAAGAAACTCCATAGGTTACTCTTTTTCAATCAGTTTCACAATACAATTCTCATAGTGCGAGCGAGAACAATGTAACACCAAAATCCAGTCAAAGAGATTGAAAAAGAAAATAAAAATAAGCTAAACCCTTTCTCTTTCATTGCAATCTAGAAAGTAAACAATTGTTATCATTATTTAAGTAGATAACCACGATTATATAATTATTGTTTATTACACAATTGTTTATCTAACTAGATAAGTACATAAACACATTGTATATTAATTAAAGTACTTGTGTAATTATGTTAAGTGTTCAAGAGGCAATCTAATACACAATCAGTGAATGAATTCAGATATTATTAGGTCTATTTGAGTATTAGAAGAGTGGTGTTGATAACCTATTAATTTATATTATAAGTGTTATAACATAATATAACATCACGCTTTTTATCTCCGAAGGGGTAGGCAGAAGTGCACATTTACGGCGCTAAAGTCACCGTACAATGTAACACCCACTTTTCAATATTTATGTTATGAGTCCCATGTAATAGGGGGTCAGCCTACTATCATATATCGGCACATAATGGGATTTAAAAAAGTATCCAGTAATACTTTGCCCGACCCGGGAATCGAACCCGTGACCCCTTGCCCGGCGGGATCGCACCTTCCACAATCATAATTTCATCACACTATCTGGAGGATTAAACATTTCGAGCTGAAGTTATAGAAAAAAAAAAATTATTATAGCAATTACAAATTAATAACATTTTGGCTGCTTCATCAGTCAAAAAGTTCTCAGTGTGAACGAGGCAGTCCATAAGAGGCTGATTATTATTAAAACATAACTGATATAACCTAAAAATATTATGAATATCTTATAATAATATAAGATTACTACTGCCTTCTAATAGGACATATGATACAATGAATACAATCTCTATAAAAAAATATAAGTTTACTAATAGAACTTACGATACAGTGAATACCACCACCATACTGAAGTTCAAAATAAATAAAAAACATAACATAACAGCACGCCTTTTACCCCGAAGCGGTAGGCAGAGGTGCACATTATACCACTGTACAATGTAACACCCACTTTTCACTATTTATGTTATGAGTTCCATGTAATAGGGGGTGAGCCTATTGCCATATACCGGGCACAATTCCAGGCAAAAAAAAGATAAAAAAGAACCTGTCAAATATAATATTTTGCAATGTAATAATAGTTAATACGATACATTCTTAACTATTCGTCAGTTCAACCAAACATTGATTCATTACGAAATACCATCTCAACCAATGCCAGACACTGTACAATAAAACTTAAATTTTTATTCCAGTACAAGACCAATGTGTCTCCCAAATGCCGGGCACTCCATTCATGTTACTCTGCAAGCTGTACCCTGAGGATGTAGCCGAGGAATTAATACAGGAGGTGACACAGCATCTCCTGTTTCTACAAGTTAAGCAAGCGATACTCAGCATGGATATCTACTGTCCCCCGGAGGCCTCCGTCCTGCTGGCGAGCTATGCTGTCCAGGCTAAGGTTGGTTATGTAAGCTTTGTTGTTGATTTTGTATTATATTTATGATTATTTATTTATTACTATTATTTTTTTTCAGCCATGATCGTCCCACTGCAGGGCAAAGGCCTCCCTACCCTCCTTCCACTCCTCTCTATATAAAGCTTTTTGCGGCCAATCCTTGTCATAGATGTCCAATTCGTCCCGCCATTTATTTATAATTAGTGGTAATAAAAAATTTTCTGTGTCACATAAATTAAACCATTATACCTATTACACCTACTGTTGCACATCTCTGCATCACCCCATGGTTGACTGTTAGAGAATGCCACCCGGCATTAAGTCCGCCATCGTATGTTTGTTATACAGAAGTGTTAATAAATAAATAAATAAATAAATAACTAAGTCCGCCATCGTATGTTTGTTATACAGAAGTGTTAATAAATAAATAAATAAAAACAAATAAGTAAAACATATTTTTAGAGTACCTACATATGACGATATTTGCTTTGCTCATAACGGAGGTAACGCCTCTGGTGGAATACATTCTTGTTTTGCCCTATAAATTTTATAGGATATTTGGGGTACTTCGCAATTTCGGAAAAGGGAAGGTCTTCCGAAGTGGCTACATACATGATTATCCCTAGCAGGCTTACTATCTGTTGCGAATTTTCTTAAATTTTTTTGTGTCTAACCCTATATGCATCGCAAACTTAATAAGTACGGCTCCGGTACGGCTCAAACACGGCTCCGGAACGGCGTTTTTTACTTTGAAAACAAAACAAAAAGGTTGTAAGCGCGCGTTGGCGTCGCGCTTACGGTTTTTTTTTATATTGACGTTATGAAAGATGTCATCCGACATACGATTTAAAATTCATATTTCAATGACAATAACATTGCTGGGTTGGAGCCGTGCTTGTTAGGTGTGCGATCACCTGAAGACCAACACCGTCACAGGATTTCGGTCAAAAATATATGTAACATTTTAAATCAAATAATTTCTTAAATAAATTATGTATTTTCCAGTACGGCGACTACGACGAGAGTGCGTACAAGCCTGGTATGCTGGCCAGCGAGGATCTATTACCACAGCGGGTCATCGACCAGTACCAGATGACGCCGGAAATGTGGGAGGACCGTATTAAAATATGGTATGAATATAATAATATAAAAAGATAATAGATTAGTCTATCATTCATCAGTTTAACGTTTAACGAAATCGAAACGTGACCGCGTTTAACGCTCTGATTGGTTGGTTCATTGGAACCGGCCAATCAGAGCGCCGATCGCGGTATCCTTACAATTAGGTACTTTAAACGTAAAACAAACTCGTCCTAAGGCCTCAGTGGGCCGAACGCGGTAACGTTTCAATTCCGTAAAAAACTCGAATTAGGCCTTCTGAGCAAATGGAGCCGCGAAGGCATTAACGGGTTGTCGGGGCTCCGGCTCGAAGTGCAGGAGCAAGAACGTTGTGGTTTTTAGTCAGTAAGAGTCTGACACGCGCTCTCGCTTCATCCTGGCGGGAGAAGTCATTGTATGATTTTCCCCCCTCAAAAAAGGCCTTCTGAGCAAAAGCCTATCCCTTCAAGCTTAACGGACTTGAGAATACTGGTGTCCTCCCTTCCGTGCCTAGGACTTTTTAATCCCTAAAGATCCTTTTAGACTGGATGTTAAGTTCTATTCTACATCTCCATGTAGAATAGTTTTCACAAGTTATTTTAAATATAGCCTCATGTATAGTGGTCTCCTATTAACCTGTTGAAGTATCGTACCCTAAATATTATAACACTACAAAAATATAAGTATAATTTTTTATATTTACTTTCTACATAATATTGATTCCATTAGACGATTTTAGAACGAATGAAAATATGATAGCAATAATTGAAAAATTATATTTATGTACCCAACGTCTAAGACCTAAATTCACCAGATATTATTTTTGCTTGGTTCGTGGTACTTTTTCCTCTTTCTCGGTAACTGTACAAGTCATAGCCGAAAATGAAACATATCCTTTGTTCATACAAAAGTAGTCTCTAATTATCGGAAATAAGGTCTACAATATTATTGATGTTAGTGGAGAGCGGTCACCGGTGACTGCTTGGTAATTGAGCAGTTAATATACACTGGATAGAATTCTAAATTCTGTTCTGGAAACAATTGAAAAAGACAGTGGAATCTGATACACCTTGTAACACTACTTGATTTAGAAATTGTCAATGAATCAGGTATGCTGACCACAAAGGGATGTCGCGGGATGAGGCCGAAATGGAGTATCTCAAGATAGCACAAGATCTAGACATGTATGGAGTCAACTACTTCGCTATTAAAGTAAGAGGATATTTCTTCTATTTATTTTTCTTTGAGCGTTCTGACTGAACTCTAATCTGTCAATAGACTTTAAACTTTACCGTTTTGTTATAAAGTCGAATATCGAAAAAAAATGTACAGTTTAGTTCAGTTCAGTTTATTCGAGGTTCCTCGACAAATTTCAAGCCATAACCGGGGTCATAAACTTACGCAGCATGCTAACGACCTATATTTCAATTTACACAAAAGTTATAGAATATAACATAATTATATAGAATTTTTCCTCTTTTGCAGAACAAGAAAGAAACAGAATTATACCTAGGAGTAACAGCGTTAGGTCTAAATATATATGAGAAAGATAACAAATTGACTCCGAAGACAACATTCCCGTGGTCTGAGATCAAGCACATATCGTTCGACGACAAGAAGTTCGTCATCAAGTTCGTTGAGAAAACTACGAATAACTTTATATTCTTCTCGCCTAAAGGAATGAATAAATTGGTGAGTATATTTCTACTACATTTATCACTATACAGTATAGAACAAAGTCGCTATCCGTCGTCTGTCTGTCCCTATGTATGCTTAGATCTTTAAAACTACGCAACGGATTTTGATGCGGTTTTTTTAATAATAGATAGAGTGATTCTTAAGGAGGGTTTATATGTATAATACATGCATATTGCACCCGTGCGAAGCCGGGGCGGGTCGCTAGTACCAAACAAGTTTTAACATGAAACGTAATTCTGCCAATAAAAATCTAGTACTTGATGGGACTAGTGCAAATTACCCTTAAAGCCTTATTTATTTTCCAAGGGGTCTCGGGTTCGATTTCACGATCGGGCAAAGTATTACCAGGTATTTTAAAAGATAACTCAGTAGTAGTAGTGGAATTGTGCCCGGTATATGGCAATATGCTCATATGGGACTCGTAATATAAATAGTAAAAAGTGGGTGTTACATTGTACAGTGGCACTGCTGTGATGCACCTCTACCTATTCGTTTGGGAATAAAGGCGTGATGTTATGTTATGTTATTTTCCAAAGGGATATGCAGAGAAACGGAATAAGGCCTTGTGGCCTTAAACTGTCAAACACCAAGCGGTCACCGGTGACCGCAACCTATTGTTCTATAATTGTGTCTATATTGACGGTACTCGACGAGTTAAAATGTGTGTGTGTGTTCCGTTTCCATTGACAACAAAGGAGTATGAGTTTGCCACGATCCCCATACCTAGCAGTCGGCTGGGTATTAAAGGTACAATGCCAACTGTTTAGACCCTCAATGATGTCGAGAACCTAACGGGTAACCGGAGCTCCGGCTCGACCTGCATGTGAAGGAACGGGGCGGTTTTTAGTCAGTAAGAGTCTGACACTCCCTCCCGCCTCGCCCAGGCGGGAGAAGTCATTCGATGATTTTCCCCCCTTAAAAAAAAAAAAACAGACCCTCAATGATTGGTCATACACAGTCCTAGGCTATAATAAAGTCCGAGAGAAGATAGTAAAATTATCCTATTATAAGTCACTTTTATTTTTATTACATTTCAGATACTAGACTTGTGTATCGGTAACCACGACTTGTACATGAGGAGACGGAAGCCTGACACCATGGAGGTGCAGCAAATGAAGGCACAAGCCAAGGAAGAGAAACAGGTATTTATTTCTTATATACTTTATTGACTTGACTGCCTCGGCCGAGGGGTCGCAAGTGCGACTGCCAGATAAGGGGTCTCGGGTTCGATTCCCGGGTCGGGCAAAGTATTACTGGGGTTTTAAAAAATTCTCAATAGTGGCACGGGGTCTAAATTTGTGCCCGGTATATGGCAATAGGCTCACTCCCTATTACATGGGACTCATAACATAAATAGTGAAAAGTGGGTTTTACATTGTACAGCGGCATAATTCAATCAATAGTTTCGTCAGTTTAAAACATTTATAATATCTGAGCTGATCCAAAATATCTCAAACAAAAACAGAACCTTAATACGTTGATATATCGTAAATTTGTTCATACAAAAGTAGTCTCTAAACATTGGAAATAAGGTCTATAATGTAGTTAGTGGAGAGTTTTATTTTCTTCGGACCATCAAAACACTACACGTGAAATTAAACCCTATCTCACTAACAATACACATTACATTCCAGCGTCGTCAGATAGAGCGCAATAAGCTAGCGCGAGAGAAACAACTGCGTGAAGCGGCGGAGCGTGAGAGACAGGCCATGGAACAACGGCTCAGGCAGTACCAGGAGGAAATACGACTCGCTAATGATGCACTGGTTCGTATTACACTGTAAACATTTAAACTTTCGTGGGACATACCGAATAATTTTTTTTTTTATTATTTAAAAAAACGGTGCCCCACACTAGGATTTTCTCCTGTGTCGTGTGTGCGTTTACAAACATACAAGTTCACATACACATGACACCCAGACCTGGAACAACAATTTGTGGATCACACAAAGTGTTGTTCCGTGCGGGAATCGAACCCGCGACACGTTGCACGGCAGCCGGTTGCGCAGCCACCGCACCAACCGTGCAGTCATTTAATTAATTAATCAATTAATTACTATGTTGACGAGGAACTCGACTAGTTTCAATCCATGCTAGAGGCTCACGTTCATGAGTAGAAGGTGCCCGGCGCGCCCCCTGGCGAGCCTCCCGCGCAGTGTGTCCGTGGCGTGGGCGGTGCGCGACACTGCTGCCACGCTCGGCTCGCTCGCCGGCGACTGCGTAGGTGATGAGTTCGAATCCCGGGACGACGGAAAATCAGTGGTACACACCGCGCTCACTGTGTCTCTGTGTCAGACCACAATGTTGCGGCTCAGATATCAGTCTCGGCTTCCAGGCAGGTGGGAGTGACCAGCCTCCATCTCTGTTGAAGTTCGAACGAGTATTACGCTGGTATATTGTATGTAATAAGCTAGACTAGAATATTTATTTTTTGTGGGAAAAGTTATGTAATGGTCGTCTCCCGCTTTGGGTGAGGCATTCCTACTCCTATTTTGAACCAGAGCCCCGGCGACCCGCAGTAGTTACGACTAAGATACGTACGTATTATTCAAAGACGCCCGAACCACAACGGGACTCATAATCATATTTGATTATTGAGATATATTAGCTAGATAATTTATCTTAGTTTTAATCACTAAAGCGCAATCGATTAACCACTAGGGCTATAGAAAAAAATTGTTTCTAAATATTCTATATCTATCTTCTACAGCGTCGTTCAGAAGAGACGGCTGAGCTTCTAGCAGAGAAGGGAAGAGTCGCAGAGGAAGAAGCTTCTCTTCTAGCGCAGAAAGCAGCCGACGCTGAACGAGAGAACGCCAGGCTCCGGCTATCTGCTATCAAGACTGAGGAGGAGAAGGTAGGAATACATAATAACATAATGTAGGAATACATATGACTTATTTGTCGTCATCATCAACAGCCTATAAGTAGTCACGGCTGACCAAAGGACTCTTCTCGCACGGAGAAGGTTTGAGCATTCATCGCCACGCTTGCTCAACAAATTATAAGTCCAGGTTTCCTCACGATGTTTTCCTTCTAATTTTGTCAGTGGTGTCTAAATAATCTTAGGAAGTACAAATAACTCGTAAAAAACGTAGGTCACCGGTGACTGACCTACGTTAGTGGAGCATTTGCTTTCAACAGTTTTCATTTTACAAAGAATTGGGTAAGGACAGAACAATTTTTGGAAGCGCCTTAGAATTGAGTGGCATTGACCATAAGACACCGAGAAAAATTTCAGTTTTGCGCACTTAAGTTGCGCAATGATGCGCATTTTAGCTTTTTTGTGCATAACAATAAGGTAGTTTCTTAAATTTTATTTTAATGTCGTTCTGGTAGATTATTTTAAAACATTAGACACGTATTTTTTCTTTTCTCACAAAATTTAATTAATTAATTGTTACTTTCGACGATATATTAATTTTAATTATCGTGTGGCCTAACGACCTGCCGCTCCTTTTTATCTAAGTATTGTAACTTTATACGAGAAAAAAATATATGTCTAAAATTTTTCCATTATTTAACTGAGGGACTAAGTAAATTTTTATTTTTCATACACTGCTATTACCCTATACTTATAGGTTCACTTAGAAAGAAAGACTCGCGAAGCAGAATATCTAACAGCGCGTTTGGTAGAAGAATCGGAGAAGCGGGCGGCAGAAGCGGAGAGATTAAAAGCCGAACTTATAGCCGCGAGGATGGCGGAGAAGCAGGCGAAAGAGAAGCTTCTAAACTTCCTGAGCAGAACTTCCACCGGGTCTCTCCCACCCGTCAGCAAGCCTTCGAGGAAGTTTGAGGAGCTGGAGACTAAGATGACTGAGAAGCAGTCCAGTGAAAAACTGATCAGCTATTTGAATGATACTTACAATGGATCTTGGGATCTTGGTCCTCCGGTGAGCACTGATGTATTTTTTTTTATTTTGTTTAGTGTACTCACCCCCATTACAAGGGACTCATACCATAAATAATGAAAAGTGGGTGTTACATTGTATAGTAGCATTAAGTGCCGTAACGTGCACCTCTGCCTATCCCTTCGGGGATGAAAGGCGTGATGTGTAAAATAATAAAACACTACTTTTTTTCTGTTTCCAGTCATCGACGGTCCCGTCCAGTTTGTTCCCGTCAACATGTTCGTTACCGGCGGAGCTAGGGGGCGAAGTCTTACAGAACGGCACCGCCACCGTCACGGAGCCCGAGCTCAACTCATACCAACTTGTACCTGATGACTCTGATCCTCATATACATCGGCTGTCTTTGGAGATTGAGAAGGAGAGGTAAGGACTTTTTGTCGCCACCCCTGACTCTTCCCGCGGAGGACGTAAAAGACAACTTCTTAATCGATCTTAATCCAAGATCTGTGGATATGAAAATATTTTCGACATTTGTTGTATGGAATTCACCGATTCATGGTAGATGTTCCCATCTACACGCACGAAGCACTCCGCATCAAGCTTCCTTGCGTACTGCTACGGAGTGAGTTTTTTGCTAGAATCTATTTTCTGAAGGGTATATTGGGAGTCTTCAAGGCCCGAGTGAATAGGTTGCTTATGTGTCGACGTGCTCCATCGTAGACCGCATCACCTATTACCACCAGGCGAGATGGTGGTCAAACGTCGGCCTTTTAACTACTCCACGATTAGCGAACTCCTTTCTATGACTTATGTCGGAATACTCAAACGCTACTCAATTTTAAGTCGCGTTTAAATATAGTTCTGTCTCTACAAATTCTTTGTAAAATGACAGAGATAGCACGATATTTAAGCACGACTTAAAATTGAGTAACGTTTCAGTATTCCGGCAATAGACTGGCAAACTAGCACACTGAACTCTGTCAGCGCCGACCAGGGACACTGGCAGCACTGGATAAGTTATAAGTGTGTTACCGGCCTTTTAGGATATGACGATTTGGTAATGCGAGGTAGGGGGGGGGGGGAGCTTCGGTAACTTCTAACGGTAGCACTAGCAGTGGGCTCCTATGGACTATTGATGATGATTATTATTATTTTTCTTTTCAGAGTGGAATATTTAGCAAAATCGAAGCATCTTCAGCAACAACTAGACGAGCTGCGTTGCGAGTTTTCAGTACTCCGAGTAGACCAGTCTACTGCGACATTAGATAGACTACATGAAGAACAGACCAGGGCTGGTGATAACAAGTACTCCACGCTGCGGAAACTGAAGCAAGGGTCTACTAAGACCAGGGTCGCCTTCTATGAAGAGCTGTGAGATATTATGGTAAGGGAAATAGAATATTTTTTTTTATATTTAATGGGCCGACGTTTGTCCTCTATCTCGCCTGGTGGCAAGCGATGGAGCACGTCGTCCCATAAGCAACATATTCACTCGGGCCTTGAAGATATCCGTCACACATGAAGACACACATCTTATCTATCTTCTATCTATATGTATAAAAATGAAACCCGTTTCCCGTTGTCACGCCGTAACTTGAGAATGGCTGGACCGATTTGGATGATTTTTTTTTTGTTGTGTTTGTTACGCGTACGAAGTCGCGGGCAGAAGCTAGTACGCTGTAATTATATTAGTAAACATTCCATATCAAATTCTATATTTATTGTTATATTTAGCTGACGAACTTATTTGTTTGGTTGAACGCGTTGATATCCAGAAAAAGTTTGAATTTAAATATTATTTTTGTTTAGGATAGTCTATTTAAAGAGGAAGGCTATAAAACATCACGCAACAATCAATAGCAGCTGAGCAGTGGGTGAAACTGACTGGGGTAGCTAATTTAATTTATGTGGCAAAGTAAAGTTAATGTAGTAAAGTAAAGTTAAGTAAATTTAATTTATGTGGCATTATATTATTCTTACTTTTCCTGCTCCAGGCCCACAGGAAGAAATTCCAATAGGAATAGGTGGTACCTTTGTACTTTAATTTTATGTATGTGTTGTCCTTTATGTTGTATGTATGTACATAAATAAATAAATAAAGGCGGGTTTTCTGTCGCCTCTTAAAACTAAACAAATTGCCCCTCTATATTGAAACTTTCGTGAGACATACTACATTAATTATTATATTTCCGTGTTACTCACGTAACGGTTTGACGAGGAACTCGACTAGTTTCAAGCCATGCTAGAGGAGATGGAGGAAAATGCGCGTGAATCCCGGCAGAGGGCGCGTTGGGTTCGCTTCGCCGCAGACTAGCCAGTAGCAGCGACAGTCGCCGCGTGGCGGCCTTTCTGATATGAGCATAGCTTGAAACTAGTCGAGGTCCTGTTCAAACAGTTACGTAAGAAATCCGAAAACATAATAATTAAACTGCCCCTCGTAAAATATCCATAGTACTTATATCTAAAACTTTGTCTAATATTAATTAACATGGCGTTAATTTAAGCGCCAGTTGCACCACCTCCATATACCTAAGTACCTGACAAACTTATGTGACAGACAGTTCATATAAATTAAGTTCTGAATTCGAATTTATCTGGTAGATAGCGGGTATCCAGATATTGTGAAACAAGCCCTTAATGTTCTAAATTATTATTATTATTTCCAGGTACTCGTTACCGTGTTCCGAGAGATGCATAAGTAGGTAAACTATTGATGATACATAATAGTTGGTAACATTATTGTGACCATACAGGGACATACAGGCGTGTCTCTGACGAATGACAGTAATCACCAGACAGTTTACCAACCGTGGTGATTTTGGTGATTAACGAAAACTGCGATTAGGTAGTAACAATGAATTGATTTGAAAGGACAATACATTAAGAGACGCATAGTATCTATGATATTTGAAGTTTTTCTTTAATTTCTGAGAAGGAATGATTTAATAATAACATTTTAGGTATTTATGTTCTCAATTTTGACCTATGACTGTTGCTAAAAGCAATTATGAACCTTATTTTTACAGTATAGAGGTTATTTTACAATAAACCGATTTTGGTTGGAAAATATTCAATTTTTTTTTAGTAGTGAGTTCAAAATATTTTTTCATGTAATTAATGTGTTACTAATATTATAAAAATATGTAGGTAATGATTTGCAGAAAAATGTACAATTAGTATACACAAATAAATTAATCGAAATTTCTACTGAATTCAAAAAGAGGCTCATATTCATATTACATTTTTTATATGAAATATGCTTCATATGGTATATCGCTTATTATATGGCATGTATATTGTATATGCATAATAATTTATATGTAAGTATAACGACATTAATGAAATCAACGAAAACTTAATGCGGTACTAGCGCCCGAATACTGAAAGGTTACTCAATTTTAAATTGGCCCCTGTCATGCAGAAAAGGTCCAGCCCACATTTTTATTACTTTTGAGTAATTTAAGTTTAATGTTGGGCAGATAATAGAACAATCATATGACACAGTACCTATTGAATAGGAACTATATATGATTACTTTAAACTTCATTTACTCAAATGTAATAAAATGTGGGTTGGATCTTTTCTGCTTAACAGGGTCCAATTGCGTTTAATTATAGTTCTGTCGCTACAAATTCTATGTAAAATGACAGGGATGGCACGATATTTAAGAACAACTTTGAATTGTGTATAGCCATTCAGTATTCGGGCTCAATAGGCTTGTATCCTAAGTTTTATTTTAATGTCCGTCTGGTAGATTATTTTAAAACATTAGACATGTATTTTTTTCTTTTCTTACAAAATTTAATACTTTCGACGATATATTGATTTGAAATATCGTGTGACGTCACGATTTCCTACATTTTATAGTGTAGCGTGATTTGACGACCTTCCATTTCTAAACTTAACTCCGTTTTATCTATTTTATCTAAGCATTGTTTCTTATACAACAAAATTAAAAAAATATGTGTCTAATATTTTTTTCATTATGTAACTGGCGGTCTAATTACATTTTTAATTTTCATACCCTATCTATGTCTGTTTTATACAACTTTCAAAACTATTACCGACTTTCTTTAATTAATTTTATTATTGCAGTCAAAAGTTTTAAACCAGTTACAAATTTACTTTTAATTTACTTTTTTTAAACAAATATCAAGGCAGGCAGTCAAAGTCAGAGGCACAACAAGGGCGGTTATGACTAGGTTCTTTTAAACTCTTAAGAAAAAAAAAGCCCCGCTTAGTGGGGCTCGTTTAAAAATTATGACAATAATAAATATGAATTTTGGTACAGAGGTACCATAGATACGGTATATGATAAAAGTATATCACCATGAACGAAACGTAATAAAATCATTAGAAAATATATGAAATGCAATTATTGAAATTTAGTGTCTTCTATGATATTTTGAACATCCAAATTTTGACTTATTTGGTATAAGTAGATGCGTTACTAGGAATCGTGTACATAGTATAAAACAAGTGCCTTATATTGAAAGTATAATATTCATATTACATAGTACATATATAAAATATATCACCCCCTATTACATGGGACTCACAACATAAATAGTGAAAAGTGGGTGTTACATTGTACAGTGGCATTAAGTGCCGTAATGTGCCTATCCCTTCGGGAACAAAAGGCGTGATGTTATGATGATGAAATATATCAAAGTTGCAAAATCATACTGTTAAGTTTTCTACCTATTAGGGTTAGAAATATGACGGATAGACACACAACTAATTATTATTATTACTTGCTTTTTATTTAATATTGTGGCTAGATGATCTCTCAATCAATTCGCTTGGAAAAAAATCCGATAAATAAATCGGTTCAAAATATAATCAATTAAGTAAATAGATATCCAATGGCGATTGTTTTAAATAAAATTTACAACATATTATTTTGCAAATTTTTATACGAAAATTAAATTAAATTTGGAATTACATCATGGTTTCCGCGAACCATTTTGAAACCAAAAAGTATTGATCTGTTGTAAAAAGGAACAGTCAAAAATAGTTTTTATTATCTATTTTTATAGTCTATGCTTACTATGTATACAGAGTAAATAAGTGTTTAATTTAAGATCTGTGTAGATATTTTTCCATATTTTTATTTCTAGAATTTTCTTTCATTTTTAATGAATGTTATGCACAAAATTAACTCTTATGATTAACTTAAAATGTGTCTAATTGAATTGTATTTTATGTAAAGTTTGGTCTAACATCAGTTTAAAATAACTAATCATTCATTCCTATTTATAAAGTACATTATTTAAAAAGATTTCCAAATAATAATCTTGAATAAAAAGTGAGTGAGAGCGCAAAATACTGTCTATCTAACCTACCTTTTGTAACAAAATGAAACATAATTCTCATGGTTTTCCAAGCCACAATTAACAATATGCAATAGATAGATTAACCATGTATTTTGTGGAGACTAAGAATTGTAGTCCTAGTATAGTTATGAATACAGTTCAAACAATGTACCAGACCATTCTATATCGTACCTTTCTTTTATTTTAGTTTTATTTATATTTACTGTGCAGTCTTGTCTTTGAATAGGTGATGGATTTTGTCTCTACTCCTGACTGATTTATACTCAAAATAATGAGTACTAATAATAGGTTTATAAATTCTTAAAATGGTTATGTAGTCCATATTTTTATGTCATAATCATCAGCCGAGATATATCCCTTGCTGACCGAAATTCTTCCCAATTTCTTTATTTTCTTTCAAGTTCTTAAGTTGCCTCAGCAGTCCATATTTTTTATATTATTATCATCAGCTGGCGTCCATTGCTGGACAAAGGCCTGTCCTTATTTCTAGTTGCATCTTTTTCAATCTTCTTTCGTCTGTTTTTTATAGCAAACTTTATGAGATATAAAATGTAATGGCTGTTTTCACTAACCACCCCTAAATCATCTCTTATATAAGAGTTACTTAGCGTGAGCCTTACCTGTTCTTTTTTTTTAATTTTGAGGGGGAAAGTCACCCAATGGCTTCTCCCGCCTTGGTTGAAGCGAGAAGGAGTATCCGACTCTTACTGATTAGAAACCACCCCTTTCCTATTCCTGCTCTTCGAACCGGAGCCCCTTGGTAAGCCGTTAGGCTAAAATACATATTTCAGTTCCAAAGTCGTGGTGTGGTGGCCTAGAGGTTTAAGACGCCCACTTCTCATGCATAAGGGTACGGGTTCGAAACATACCGACTGCAAGTACCAATATGACTTTTTCCGAGTTATATGTACTTTCTAAAATTATTAAGACATCACTGACAAACGGTGAAGGAAAACATCGTGAGGAAACCTAAGCTTATAATTTTAATTATAAGTTTGAAATCGCCAACCCGCGTTGAGCAAGCGTGGCGATTAATACTCAAACCTTCTTCGTGTAAGAAGGGGTCTTTGGTCACCAGTGGCCGCTTATAGGGTGTTGATTAATTGATGATATTTCAGTGTAAAGACAGCGACAAAATGTATCACCTTAATCAGGCATTACTATGCTAAATGACTAAATAAATAGTTTCAAACATACTTTTAATTCTATGTAGACTTAAATAATTATGTTTTCGGCTCACTAACGTAATTATTAGACGAGTAGCTCGACAGTCAGACAGTAACAGCGCGACAGTCGCCGCGTCGTGGGTCGCGGAATGCTGCTCATGAATATGAGCCTCTAGCATGGCTTGAAACTAGTACAGTTCCTCGTCAAATTATTACGTGAGTAAGCCGAAAACATAATTATCTATGTAGACTTGTTAGACATATTCCCCTTTTGATTTAAAACAACTGCTTCTTTGATCATTTAGTTAAAATTGCGTTAGTCATTAGATAAGTAACGAGGTTCACATTTGATATGAAACTATATAGTTGTAGCCAGGAGTTTCAGCTAAAATATCCTTTAAAATGACAGTGAAAAAGTCTATTTTTGTTTAACAAAGGTGCACCGCACCTGTTGTCTGTTTATGGTTTATCTGCATTAAAGTGTAAATAAGAACTAAAATGCAAACGCCAGTGTGTCAATAGATTTTTTACTTATGTATTTGTAGTAAAGTTGAAAATCGAATGGCATTATTAGTAGGTTGATGTGCTAGTTGCTGGTATCTTTATTATGAATTGATGAATAATGAATTTAATGATTTTTTTATTGACACCTAAAATATCAAACATTCTTTATATAAACATTATATACACTTTAATGTGGCTAAACCTAAAAACATCCCTATTCTTTAGTTACTTGGTTCTCTCCTATCTTTAGTCATAAGTTCAATAAACTAGATTATAAGCAGTTTAAGAAAGTACACCCACAGATAACATACCTTGTAGACAGTGGCCAGCAGGTCTACCCCTTTCTCGATTTTCACCTTTATTCTATTGATGTTAAAGTCCAAAATGTAATGAAGAAAATGACAGATTGGAGAAGGTTGATCTACGGGCCACTGTAAGTACATTAATATTTTCGAAAATGCAAAATGTAGTGTCAAAAGATATTCAATGTCGCCATACCTATAAAAATTGAAATTATTCATGTGTTCAAACAGGAAAGCCATAGAAAAATTAATGAAAAATTTTCAAGCTATTTATCCTCTTGTGTTTAAAAGGTACCTAATATTAAAGTTATAAAGCGATAGTAAAATTATGTATGTACCTACGTAAATGACGAAAATATAATTCGTACCAACTGTCTAAATACATCAATCAAAAATAAACTTTAATAACAAATTGTAAAGTGATAAATCGAATGAAGTAATTTAACAGTTCAGGATGCATATACATAAGTCTACAATGTCTCGACGATATCTCGATAACAGTTCCGGTCATCAATGTGTAAAAAGATAAACTGATAAAAAATTATAATCAGTTTTAACTTGCAACTTGTAACTGAACATACAGTCTCGAAATTTAAATAAAGAAACTTGATTTGGTTCATTCAATGCTGCCATTATTTGAGTCTCGCAAAAATGCCGCGAATTTTAAAAATATAATGGCAAATAATTATGGTATTTTTCGTCATTATGGAATTCGGTTCGGAATGAAATAGTTATATAATTTAAACGAAACGCCACGTCATATTATTATGTAATTCAACAATTTAATCTAATTAGTAAAAGTCCTATTGTGAATTAAAATTAAATAAAAACTTGATTAGCATGTTTAAAAGATGATTAGTTATATATATACCTAATTATAAATTATAATACTTTCCTCAAATTAAATTACCTATGTGGAGAGCAGCTATCCCAGATTTTACAGCTCAGCAAGAATATAAAAAAAACAAAGTCGGACGCATAATGATACCCATTAAAATACTATAATATATAAATACTATACACTATAATAATAATAGGTATAGTATTCATCCTACATCCTACAAATATTATAAATGCGAAAGTTTCTATGTTTGTTTGTCACTTCTTCACGTCAGAACGGCTGAAGGGATCGGGTTGACGGATCCCCGGTCTGGTATAACACATAGGCTAATTGCTATCCCACGAGAACGCGGGTAAAACCCATGGCAGAAGCTAGTTTTGTTTATAAATTGCAACATGTGTGACTGTGAACTATTTACATAGTTGCTTAGTTATAGGTACCTATTGTTGCCAATATTTTTATATATATTAAACAATACAATTGAATACTGTATGTGAATCAATGTGCCTCTCTGAATAAATGTTGTGATTATAATCAATGTAATAATATTGTAAGTCTTCACTCTATGTGCCTTGTAATCGAAATTTTATATTTTGTAAATATATTTATAGTCAATTTTTGTAGTGGTTTTCTTTTTTCATCCTGTTTTGCTTAAGTTACCTAGTTTTTATAGACTAGATGCATCCTTTTATCCTTTCCCTTATCCTTTTGCCAATCCAATCCTCACACCCTCTCACCTCACCCGGGCGGGAGAGGTAGAAGAAGGAGGAAGATTGGATGAATTTCGCCCTTAAAAAAAGACTCCAAGTCCCCCCTAAAGCGCACTTGTATCTCCTCTAACATCTGGCGAAAGACCTTATAATCTTTTAACCGAATGGTCATTTTTAAAAACATTTGTAAAACGTCTAGCAAAGTAAAATTTTTTTGGCTAGTAGGTAGTAGAGCTGGTCAACTTCCCTTTTTCTGTCAAATTTCTTAAATCCATTTTCCACTTTATTGTTTCGGGGTAAAGTAGGATGTCCAATGAAAAAAATTGATTAACTAGATGTATGTAAATCAATAGGTACCTACTTACTACAAAATTTTGTATTTTTTTTGAGTTACTGTACTTACTTGATTTTAATTATTGCCTTTTTATCAGACTACAGTGAAGCAGAAAGCAGGAAGACCTAACAATAATTGATGATGATTGATAAACAGGACTGATGATTGCATTACTAGAATGGAATATTCGCTTATTAGGAAGTACTGTGACCAAGAAGAATAAATGATACGACTGTTCAGACTTGCCTACGACTATTTGCTCAAGTGCAGTCGCTTTAGCAGCCGACGACAATAAACATACTTTTTTACTAAAGTAGGCATGTCTATAAGAAATGCTTTTTTTTATAACAACTGCAAATATGCGAGTCGCCGTACGCCCGGGTCTGGTTCTGGTCGGGCGGCGAGCCACCCATGCTCCCGCCGCATCATGACCTGCACTAGGGCCGGACGCGAGAGGTCGCCATCGCCGATCACGGCCTTGACGGCACGGCGGTGCTCAGCCCACGCAGGGCATTCCGCTACTGTGTGTTCCACCGTGTCCTCAGGGAATTTTAATATGCTTAACACATACATCTAGGAAACAACAGCGACAGCTTTTGCTGTAGTAATAAAACTCAAGATAGTAAATAAAATTTGACTGCCTCGTTGGCCGAGTGGTCGCAAGTGCCGGGCAAGGGGTCTCGAGTTCGATTCCTGGGTCGGGCAAATTATTACACTAGGGTTTTTAAGAGATTCTCAGTAGTAGCACGGAGTCTGGAAATGTGCCCGGTATATCGGCTCCCCCCTATTACATAGGACTCATACATAACATACCTAAGTAGTAAAAAGTGGGTATTACATTGTACAGTGTCTTAGTGTCGTAATGCGCACCTCTGCCTACCCCTTCGGGGATAAAAGGCGTGATGATATGTTATAGCAAATAAAAACCAACATTCAACATACAACTTGGCTTTTAATTTCAAAAATATACACCACAATCTTATAACAATATATAAACATACACAATGTAATATGTACAGTCTAACATTGTTAAGTTCTTTTATATTCAAATAAATATATTAATTGCAATTGCAAATACTATAATGACTAAGAATTTTATAGGTAAACATTACTTCAAAGTAACTACAACTTTTAATAAAAGACAGTAAAACAATAGATTTCAATTATTTACACTACCACCTGAAAATATGAGCAAGTTATCTCTCTATCAGATTATCAAGTATGAAGCTTTTCATTTTAACCAGCCGTTATCAGGCACTTTAGATACTTTAGATATCAACCCAGATGTCCATAGCTCATACTATCCCCACCTACATTGCAAATATTGTGATTCATTCAACTGTTTGCGCTATATAATCAGATTCAGCTAAAATTATATTTAATACTATAAAAACAATCACATAGTTTTACAAAATAGTTACTCCTAAACATCACTTCAGTATTTATTTAAGTATATCAAGGCGATATAAATTATAATCAGAGATCACAATAGTTGTGCTAATAGTTCAAATCGATTACATGTATAATAATTGGTATATTTTTGTCTATTTTTCAAGTAAATTGGATGAATATATTACAATCAAACTAAAATCCACTCCTCACTGGGTTAGTACATGAATAATATAGCAAGATAATGCCGAGAATGTCATGTAGTATGCAACAATAATGTTTATAATAAGCCTGCATTCTTTCAAACAATATCAAACTATAAAATAACTTCCATTTTATAGCTTCCCTTCTTATCAAACGAAAATAAATAAAACGATTCAATGATTTCTACAACTGTTTTAACAAATGTTATTATTTGATAGCAGCTCTAGCATCCGCCCGTTGTGAATGTAATAGATAAAAATAAATCACGCCTATCTATGCCCTATGCCATGAATAAATAATAACATACAGAAAACATCACAAATAGAGTCTGCAAACTATGCTATAATTAATTTTGTACGCTAATTAAATAGGCAGTGATGTATGTGCACAATACATGCTTGTATTGAATTAATTTTTTGGTCAGTTGTGCATAAAAAGCGTACATATCAGTCAAGCAGTGGACTTGATGGAGCACCCATCTTGTAAGGCATCCATACTTCAAGGTTTGTTATAGAGCCTCCTATAACTGACACCGTTATCACAAAATTCGTTCATGATTATTCTGCACAAGAATAAATGGAAGACCACAATAAGAACTATAATTGATATCCAGAATAAGGGATTGAGACCTCCTAAACTGTGCCCGTGTTTATGCAGGGCTATGACATGGTTGTCATGTGCGGGGGCTTCCACAACTTCTCTCACATGAATAGCATGTCTCAGGTCCTCCATATGCTGCTTGTCCGCTGTTATATAAAGTATAGCAGTCAAGGGCTCGGTTAATTTGACAGGGAAGTACTTTCTATAAGGTCCTAATTGCACAGGGGAGTCTAAGCATCCTGCATCGCATGCATAGTAAGTCTTATCTGAGCGGTCCAATGCCACAAAGATAGCTGCTTTATTGTCTTCCTGTACAATAACACTGATATTCACATGCGTCATATTTCCATAATTAAGTCGACGGAATAGGAAATCTCTATGTAACTTTGAAGGATGAATGTTGTATTCAAGATGCTGATTACTGAAGCGCAAACTTCCAAAGCTTAGAATCATTGCCTGGTTGACACCACTTGCACCAGCTTTGAGTAGATTATGGCACCCTTGTTTTTCAAGTGTTAGTAACCAGATACTGGCCACTGTGTTCAGATTTGACAAGGAATTCAATGGTTTCCACAAATTGAATGCATCAAGTGTTGAATGTCCTTCATAGCAGCCTTCAGAGTATGTCAAACTCCTCATGATGTCAGATTTTCTACTAGCTTTAATATCATCTTCGTGTTCATAGCTCCGTACTTGAGATAGTATAGCATAGATAGTGGCATTAATTCTATCTCCGTTGATAATTCCTTCAGCTTTAGAATCAGAGATGTAGAATCCCGTGTACCAGAGTCCTTGCCACACTCTAGCATGATTCTCTCTGAGCTTCTTCACAGCTGTCCTATCTCCAGTGAGAGCTATAGCTTTTTCCATTTCCTCAATAGCCTTCTTCTCAACAATGTCTTTATGTGAAGCATACTCGGACTTCTGTATTGGTTTGCTGTACTGCACTGTAGTTAATATAAGGATGTCTAGCCCATCTCTAGCCTCTACTCTCAGGGTATTGCCCATTTTCCTACATACAACTGCAGCAGCAATTACATTCTCGCTGTCCGGTATTGGTATCATACCAGTCACTACCTCATACTCATTTGTATCAACTCCTTGGTGTAACTTAATGGTCTGCATAACAGATGTAGGCCAGTCAGACACTCTCGGAGTTGTCAATCGTAAATTCTTATCTGTGCTAGTTGGATTGTTAATCCAAATCTCCTGTACAAACAATGAAGGTATTGTTCTATGTGCATAATACTGATAAGATGCTTGTAAGCCTGAATTAGAACACTGAAATCTGTGTACAATGCCCTTTTTATACTCAGCTACAGTAAATTCTTTAATTTCGTAGTCGTCTATAACGTACAGAGGATGGTAGTAGAGAGGCAGCGAGAGTGTTCTCCCATGTTTTATGTTCAGATGAGGCACATGTTCCAGTGCTAGACCCATTAAGCCATTCCCAACATAAGGCACATAGTTATGACTGAGCGAGTTCATTGCCGCTAGTGATTCTTGTCTCACGTACACGTCGTATTCATTCAGACCAGTCTCGAAAGGGTTCATGAAATTTTTAACACATACATTCTGGTGGCCTGTCGTACTCTCCGGACCAAACAACCAGTTCAATAATGTAGGTCCAGCATATAAGCATAGGAATATAACAACCAGCACTAATATAACCAGCTTCTTTCTCGTCATGGGTCCATCAGCCAATCTGTTGATACGCCTCAAAACATCCCCGGCACGGCGACTCATGTCTGCGACGATAGAACGAAATCTTTCCATTACAAATTGTCAGCAACTGTGCACAAAACACGCTTGGCTTTTATACGCATTCAAGTAAGATCAGTTATTGTCATTGTAAATCAGTAAATTCAATAAAAACAGAAGATTTTTATTCAAATGCTCCACGGAACAATATCACTTGACTTCTATCTACAGATAATAAACAAATTTTAATTAGAGTTGCCAATAGTCGATTATACAGAATTCGACTAAAATTATTAAAATCAATATCAGGTATATTATTATTTCCATATATTTATTTAAATTCTTTACAAATTATATTTTTAAATACTATTCGACCAAAAAAATAAAAAATAATATTTAAAATATAAGAAGCTACTGGTGGTTAGGGCTCCAGAGACAGAAGCCTCCTCACGATACATGCCGTTTCTAGGAGAACTGCCTTTTGTATTAGGCTCTTGATCCATTCACCTAACGCCAGCCTGCTGAGATGGATTGTCAAGGCTTTTAGGGATTAACCCATTGGCCGACACGACTATCAGCACAATGGTAACCAAATCCACACTCCACATCTCGACAAGCTGAGCTAAGTCTAGATATTTGATTTGTGTATCTTTTTTAGCTTTCACGAGGTTCTCTTCATGGGGGATGGTTACATATCAGCTAGATTTATTATTAGCATTTTGTAACAGATCCTTTGCAATAAAAAACTCAAAAGGCTTTGACGCCCACTTCCACCTTTGTTTTGCCACAAGGCGGGGGGGGGGGGGGTGTGATAAAAATTACGTTATTCTTTAAGCTAGGACTTTTATTTTTTCATGTATTGCTAGATTTTTATTAATAGGAAGTATTCTTAAATTTTCTTCTCTGTCAAGATTGTGCATGTGTCGGCGCCCTTATGCACAAACGAACGCTTTCTAATTTTTACAGCTCAGGGCTCCTATTACAATTCTGTCCAACCCGGGAATCGAGCCCGTGATATTTTCAACAGCAACCGTTCATACAATCATTGTCATTCATAAAGTCAATGGGTTTTCTGTGTCTTAAGTCGTTATTTTATAATAGGATTAATAGGGTGCAAATAATCAGTCGGATTACCTGACGGAACTCGTAAGCCATTAATGGAAAAAAATAAAACAAAACAGTAACTAGTAAAATTTAATATTATTCGCTAAAATATCAATACGGAACTATCACATTACAAATATATATAGAAAAATAAAGCACAATTTATAAAAGCACCTTTGATATTATTGTTTTTTTTTCTGTTAAAATCTAAAATGTTGATAAATGGTAATAAATTCGTTAAAAATATTATTGCTGATTCGAAACAAACTTATGAGAGATTCTTTAAATACTTAAACTAACACAATGTTCGTTAACTTAATTATAAATTAATTACCACTAAATGATGTATGTAAATACACATATATGTATGTATAAATATTGTTTATCATTTATTATTGACAATTTAAACATAAAATATACAAAAAATCTGCAAAGGTACGTCGTTTTATTGCCTAAAATATAAAATTAATATAAAATCACGATTGTAGGATAAAAGAATTCACAGTTTACTTATAAAGAAAAGAATACTTAGTTTAAATTGTGTAGCAATTACAATATTTAATTAAAATGATTTTTACATACATAATTCTTTGTTTTTTTCGAAAACACAATACTTACTAGTGATCAAGAAAAATATCCTTCGAAAATATAACCTTTGTATATAATAAAAAGTATTGTTGAACCCTGTTGCATAATTATTAATGAAGGCACTTATATAGGATACAACGTGAATTTTAAGTTACATACAATATATTTTTTTTCTTCTTTGGCAACCGAGTCTCCAATACAATGTTATCGACTATACTGCCAGTGGTAAGTGGTGAATGTTTTGAATTAGGCCATAGGTAGAAAGTGTCAAAGCACAACCATAAAAAATTCACGCTGTATAGATGTGTTAAAAATTTCAGGAATAAGTTCGGAATGTGTAGGTATAGAAAAGGAATAAATAATCTTATTTCCTAATAATTTCACAATATAAAGTAGATAAATTAATATTATTGTAGAATTTGTTTCGAAGGTACTCATGAATTTCAAGTTATTTTTTTAAGAGTACGATATCGTTTCGAGAGCAAAAAGATGGCTATTGAAAATACTTAATATCAATTAATTATTGTATTTTGGACGCAATTTTTTTTGCTACTTTTTATAATTATTACATTACGATTTCTGGCATATTTTAAATTACGATACAACGAATTTTTTTTAATTTAGTTCAATTTTAAAATAGTTTTTTTTTTGTTAAAATTTGATATAAAGGAACGGAATGTGTGAGCCAATGGGTGGCCATTTAAAAATGTTTATAGAAGAATGTATCATTTTTACTAATACTGATAAATTACAAACATAGATAGATGTCATCTAGAGATCATCCCAATCGTTAGTTAAAAATTTAATATTAAATACTCGATCTCCTAGATTTAATAAATTAATTGTTTATTTAAAAAATATTATCGTCCCTAATTCCACACGTTTTTTTTAATAATAACAAACAATTCATTTTAACTTGTTATGAAAAAAACGCAAAACATTTGTCGGAAATACTGTACATATTTAAAATGTTTACTACCAAAATACGTCGGCACTATTTTAAAAAAGTAGTTTATCTAACTAAACTTGGATCTAAATAAAATGAATAAAAATCCGAAATATAGATAGATAGTGACATGTAACTCGACGTATTCCTTTCGAGAGTAGTTTCTAAGATATTCAACATTTTTAGTTTTGATGAAAAAATCCATAACGAACTACAAAAACAGCAATAAATAAAAAAGTACTGATTTGATTTAAGTGATTTTAGTTGTAATTAGAAGTTTATGTGTTTTGATGTTTCTGCAGTTTTTTGACCAAAATCAAAAATGTTGAATATCTCAAAAACTAGCCACATTCGGACCAGAGACCTCAGGGCTAATTTTGTAGGAAATTAATTGTATTATCACCTCCCGAGAGGAATACGTCGAGTTACAAGTCACCCTGTATTTGATTTTATATTTTTTTTCCTCTGCAGAATATAATTTTGAAGTAGTTCCATGTCTTGCGTTTACTTCATTAAAAAATATTTATATTATAGGTAAATTGTATATTTATTTAAAGTTTCTGTTGCACGCACCACTACTCTTTCTACTTTACCCAAAACCCAGGTTATCTAGTCAGTTCCGTTAAAATCTTGGTTAAGAATTTAAACTTTTTTACCTAACTGATATGGTTTATTGTCCACTGAGTGCAGTCAAAGTAATTAATATTATTATAGTTTTATAATATAATACAAAACTGAGGCTTTTTTAATTAATGTTATTTTCAAGAATATTGTCTTCAAATTTTGTCCGCGTCGATTTTTAACGGTTAGGTATTAGAAGTTGTTAATTTATATAAGATATTTTTGTTTCATTTGTGCGAATCTTTAGGCCTCAGTTTGTAATATATTTAGTGTTCAATCTCCGTCTAACGGCGTCTAATAAAAAACTGATATTAATCCAAACTCTTTGGGGACTATTTAACACACTTCAAAAGAAAAGGAAGGTCAGTTTCTCAGTTTGTCCGCAATTATCGCGCGGTTACCTGAACCTATTTGATGCGGTTTTGAAAAAATGTTGTTTCAGGAGCAAATTAGTATTAACCCAGTTTATTATTAGCCAACTTCAAATAATGGAAGTTGAAGACGCTTTCATTTAAATGATTAACACTAATTCTATTGGAAATCTGGATCAGTCCAAAGACTTTGGATTGTTATCGGTTGTAAATTTCAGCCATTAACACGTTAAACGCCATGGCAGTCACTGGTGACCGACATTAGCGGAGGATTTGCCTTCAATAGTTTTTTATTGGCAGCCAATGCCTTAAGAAATATGGTTGATAGAAGCTATCGAGTAACAATAGCCTTATAAAATATGATTATTTAATCGATTCATTCTTGGTCCGCTTGCTTCCAATCTCTATCTGACCTGAGTAGCACTATTTCTTCCTCGGAATCCGTTTCTGAAGCAGGTAAGTCTTCTTCATCGAAGTAAGGTTTACGAACGATGTCTAGAATGAAATAGACAATATCAGGATAGGATAGTTTCCTAAATTTTATTGTAATGTCCGTCTGGTACATTAATTGAAAACTTTAGACACGTATTTTTTCTTTTCTCACAAAATTAAATACTTTCCACGATAAGCTGAAATATCGTGTGACGTCACAGCGTGTCACATTTTGTAGTACGTTATGACGTAACGACCTCCGACTCCTAAACTTAACGCCATTTTATCTAAGTATTGCAACTAAATACGAGAAAATAAAAAAATACGTGTCTAATATTTTTTTCATTATCTAACTGACGGACTAATTAGATTTTTAGTTTTGGTACCCTGGAAACTACCCAATTATAAACATTACGAGTCTGCTATGGCATTAAACTCGAAAAATGTGCTTATACGTTTACATCAGAAAATGAATAGTCTCCACAAACAGCCGTCTCAGTTAGAATGCTACAAAGACCTCACAGGACCGTGAACAATGATTGAGGTTACCGGACTCCTCCCCACTCTACAGCTAAAAGATTTCCCTTTCTCTCTTCTTCTGCAGCAAAAAATTGCCCATCAATAGGCCAGCAACGCAATTTTACCCTCCCCTGGTGTTCATGAGCGAAGCTGATTGCTTACCATAAAGTGATTCGTCCACTCGTTTGCACTATATCTGTGCTCTTCTGCTGTGCGTGTAAAATAAGTGTTTTTCTGGTAAATGGTATAATATAATGTTATATAATTTACCATATCCACTGGCATCATCACAGAGCGGTCGTTTATCGTCGCTGGGTATCTGTGTGAACATGTATTGTCGGCGCGAGTCCTTCGCGCGCTCTCGGCAACTGAAGCACCACGCTGATATTGTTACTACTGCTACACCGATCACACCTGTAACGAAGCAAC